GTTTCCGTACCTCGGCTATAGCTACTAGCACAACATGCAACAGACACTTTGCAGTTATCCACTCCCTCTGACTAGCAGAGGAAGGAAAATTACCCTGTCCAGTCTTTCTTCCTCCATGCCCCACTGTGGCCCCAGGCCAAAGAGATTCCATCCTTTCCATGGACTGTGACCTCCCTGACTCTCAGACCCACTGTGCAGGAGCTGCTGAATCTTCATTGCTCCTTGTTCTCTGTCAGTGGCCCCTTTGATACTTTCTAGAGAAACATTGCAACGGGAAATGAAGCAATCAGGCAGCGGTGCTTTAAATATAATAACTGTGAGATCTGGTGTGTTGTTAACTTTCCAACAAGCCCAAACTCCATTTTGAAATCTGTTGTCTATCTGGGGCGGAAAGCTCTGGTGATCCATTTGTGAATAATTCAGAATATGCTGAGAAGCTAGTACAATCTTCAGTCATTTCCATACATTTATGATTTTTCAGGTAAAGCTGTGCTTTAATGAGTCAGAACAAATTAACGCTTCCCCCTTTACTAAGAACTGCCGCTTAGTTCCACTGCTCAGATGCTTTTAAAAGGTTTGGAGTTTATACTTGTTAGAATTCATATAACAAAATGGGCTCTTTCATTATTTTTAACATTTCTTTTCATATATATATATATATATATATATATATATAATTGATTTTTTTTAAAGAGAGAAAGGATAGTTAGAAACATCGATGGGAGAGAGACATCGATCAGCTGCCTCCTACACGCTCACACTGGGGATGTGTCGGCAACCAAGGTACATGCCCTTGACCGGAATCGAACCTGGGACATCCACTGAGCCAAACTGGTTTTGGCTGGGACATTTCTATTTCACTTCCTACATACCCTTTTACAGGAATCTTTTCAAAATGCAAATATTCTGTCACAGGAGCCCCTACACACACCACCCACAGACACCTGCCAAAGAGAAACTGGTTACAAGGTCACCACCAGTGCTTCCTCTAGGGATTTTAACAAAAGGCAAAGGATTAGTATTTTACATTGTAATTTTGTGTGGTTTATAACTTACGTGATTTATCTGATTTTTCTATGAATATCTCTTTGCACTTAACTATAGTCCCACAGCCTGGTCGGGCCCCCCGGGGAGCAGACTCTGAGGGGCCCCCCAGGGAGCAGACTCTGAGGAGGCCGAGAGTGGTGTTCCTAGGGGGCGCTTTGGGAATGGCCCTCTGTGGGGAGAGAGCAGGACTGGGCAGAGGAGGAGCGGGGAGTGGCCTGCGGTTAGGATACACTTGGACGGCGGTAACTGGTTTTGTCAGCTGGTCTGGGGCCTGGAAAGAAACAGACTGAAAGATAGGGAACAAAATTCCTCCCTCCTTCCATTCCAAATATATCTCCCAGCTCACACTAGATTGCTACCTGACTCTGCCCAATCCTGTGCCATGATGGGACCGAGGACCCAGCTCACAGTCGGTGGTGCTGGCTGCATGGCCACTGAGCACCCGCTGTCAGTGCTCTGTGGCCACCAGGGCCCGGCAGCACCTCGGAAGGCTTGTGGTGAAAGGTGTTTACTTCTACCGATGGCTTGGCCTCCGTCCCGAGTCCTTGGAGTCTGCCTCGGGCTTTTCTCATGAAACTTGTCCTAAACTCCACACGGCATCTCTTCCCACCGCCATGCATCTCACAGGCATGGTTACCCAGGCAGCCAATTTAGGAAACTCACAGGTGTAACCAGTCAAACTGGTAAAGAGCCTTAACACAGTGCTGTTAAAGCACGCCTGATGGTGCAGCAGCTCCTTAGGACATCTGGAGTCTGACAGAGGCAACAGCTGGACAGTGTCTTTGGGATACCTGTGTCCGCCGAAGCCGGTTTGGCTCAGTGGTTAGAGTGTCAGCCTACAGACTGAGAGGTCCCAGGTTCGATTCCGGTCAAGGGCATGTACATTGGTTGCAGGCACATTCCCAGTAGGGGGTGTGCAGGAGGCAGCTGGTGGTTGTTCCTCTCTCATCGATGTTTCTAGCTCTCTATCCCTCTCCCTTCCTCTCTGTAAAAATCATTAAAATATATTTAAAGAAAAAAAAAGAAAAAGAATACCTGTGTCTCATTCACCCCCACACTCACACACACACACACTAAAGGGTTAGCTAGCTGGCTTAATTAGAAAGGTTTAGGGAATGAGGAGGGTCTGTGGGAGAGGAATATATGGATGGAGACTTGAAGACACCAGGTGCTTATCTTACTTGTACTAAGGATGGAGAAATGCCACAGCAGATGGAAACACTTCTGGCCTGAGCAATTCCAACAGCCAGAAGCCAAGGACAAGGGGATCTGTGGCTGAGCAATTGAAGTGACCGTGTGTGAGACCCACAGGAGCCCTGACCTGAGCAGCTGGGAGGGCCACAAGACGTCTCCGCCAGCACAACCGGGAGAAACCCCTAAGATAAATCAAAGTGACTCCAACCTGGACAGATAAGATGACCCCATGAGGAGAAGTGTGGCTGTGCGGTCTGGGAGCTGATTGCAGGGCTAAGGTCCCACGTGGAAAAGGAGGGTCTGCAGCCTCAAGACAAAGAAAGCAGCGCCCACCCTTCTCCGGCGCCCTCTGTGTGTCCGGGAGGGACGGTCTCAGGAGCAGGAACTCAGAGGACCTTTCTTAGGTGGCCCTCCGCCCCTCCGCACCAAGACTGACAGAGCTGTAGGCTTAGAATTATGGTCTTCGAGGCAGTGTTTGCTTGCAATCAAGTTTCTGTACTTTTCACCGACCACCTTTTGTCCGGGGCATCATTCTTCGAATCCATTCGGACAGGGACCTGGGGAAGAAATCACCTTCCACAATACAACCACCCAATCACCGGCCCAGCCAGAGCGGGGAAACCGTGCGCAGGAAGAACATGCCTCTGGGCACCTTGCACTCAACTCTCATTTTATCAACACACCTGACCTCCTCAGAACCAAATTACATCGTCCTTTCCCCTCATGGGCTTCTTTTCCTTATGGAATCTCTCCCCCTCACACACACCTCACCCCACAGACACACACATTCCCAATTCCCCTCTTCAGTTAGCATTTTACTGGGCAGAAGAGTCTAATGTCATCTCTTAAAGTGACTTTATTGTGCCTTCTCTATATTCTAGAGCATTCATAAAAACCCAAGATCAGTCTATTTTAATGACCCACAAGCTCCTCTTTGTGCCGAAACTGTTTGCGTTCTTTGTATTCCTTAATCTCACCAACAATACCCAACATTCACTTTATCAGAGATAGCTCATAACATGAAACCAAGTTTAAATGTTCTTAGTGTTGTGCGTCACATGCACTGATTTTCCTTTATTGTGCAGTATTATTATTGTCAAAGGCATCCTCTCAGGTATGATTTTCACTTTTCTGCCAGGAAAATCTTTGTGGCCCATTTCCTGCTTGATTAACATTTTAGATTGTCAAAATCTACAGTTCGGCGTGTGACATAGAAGGTCTGTCAGGCTGGCCAGTAGTGTGTGGGCTCGTGACTTCCTGCAGGAAAGACTTAGGAGTCCATGTGATGTTGAGAGTGCTGGGGGCAGTGTAACACAGGAAGAGGACAGAGCGAGGAGGGGGAGAGGAGACGGCGCCAGGGCAGTGTTCTGCTCAGTTCCCTAGAAACATCATAGGAAGGAGCCAGGGTGGCTTCTGCTGGTTGGCTGGAAGGTCAGAAAAAAAGGGGTCCCTGGAGACAGATTCAGATGATGAGCCCAGGACAAGCTGCTGCTACCCACTGCTCCCCTGACTGCGAGTCTTCTGAGGACCTTTAAGTTTAGGAGGGAAAAATAAGTCCAAAAACAGGCATGGGTGTGCTCCAGAGAGTCCAAGTTGGTACCTGTCTCGAGGGTTTTATCTCTGCAGCAAGGATCTTAGCAGATCTTAATGAAGGTAAATAAGTGAGGGAAGAGGTAGAAACACAGGAGTCATCATTTGTTTAAAGAGGTCATGATTAAATGTATTTCAGCTAGTCAACAAAGGAAAATGTGTTTCAATAGAATATTCATTAGCTTTCCAGATGCACTTTTGATATGCTAGTGCAGCAAAATAATTGCATAGGGGCCTGGCTGGCATGGCTCAGTGGTGAGCATTGACTTATGAACCAGGAGGTCATGGCTCAAGTCCCAGTCAGGACACATGTCCGGGATGCGGGCTTGATTTGGAGGCAGCTGATTAATGATTCCCTGTCATCACTGATGTTTCTATGTCACTCTCCCTTCCTCTCTAAAGTCAATAGAAAACTATATACCTATACCAATAGACAAATATGTAAATTGACTGTACCTCCACAACACTCACAGCCAATCAGGAGTGAGTATGCAAATTAACCCAACAAAGATGGCAAGTCTGTGGGCAGTGCGCACATGCACAGGCACTGAGCAGCCAGGGGCATCCCTGGGACCCTGCTCGCTTTGAGCCTGTGGCCAGCATGCTTCCGTCCTTTTGATTTAACAGACCCTGGACCGGAAGCAGAAACCAAGAGCGTGGGGAGCACCAGGAATTCTGGAATGTTATTCTGGTGGCAGCCTCTGGACCAGAAGTGGAAGCCCAGAGTGTGGGAGCACCAGGAAAGCCTGTTAGTGCCTCCTCAACCCTCTCAGTCTAAGGGGCCACCTGCAAATTCCTTCCGAAAGCCTTGCACAAAGTGAGGTTTAGTGCCAGGAAGAAGGACTGTTGTTAGCAGTTTTATTTCATCATCTTTGTCATCATCAATACACATGCAGTTTTTTCCTTTTATGTACATGGCATTGCCAAATGGGTGCTACACTCTGCCTGTGGTACAAAGTTTATAAATACAATATACCAATACAAAGTTGAAGCCATAAAAAGAGTTTAGTAACAACGAGGAGATAATGAAATCTGTAGTGTCGATGGTATCTATGAAAGAGATTTAGAAACAACACACAAACTCAAACATTACAGTAAACGTGTGACTTGGGAAGGGGTGAGAGGGATGTTTTATGTGCTGCCGCAGGGTTTCCTAGGTTGTTCCACGTTTACTTTTTTTCTGCTATTATCTTTAAGTACTGCAAAGCATTGTGGGCGGCATCACTCTGGGCATTGCTGCAGGAGATCCCGGAGCCATGGCACACGGTGATAGGGCTGGTGGACAGTTCGGCGAGGCACTGATACTGTCCGTTGGCACTCAGTTCTTCTGTAATAACAAATCCAAACGTGACGGTTAATAAGTGCATATGAAGCAGATCCTTTGTCCAAGCAATACTTTTTATCATTGTTTTTCTCTGTAAGCATCCATGGTAGACTACTTATCATCTTTGTTATTTTATTTATTTATTTTTTAAAATATATTTTATTGATTTTTTTACAGAGAGGGAGGAGAGAGATAGAGAGCTAGAAACGTCAATGAGAGAGAAACATCGACCGGCTGCCTCTTGCACACCCCCTACCAAGGATGTGCCCGCAACCAATGTACATGTCCTTGACCGGAATCGAACCTGGGACCTTTCAGTCCGCAGACCGACGCTCTACCACTGAGCCAAACCAGCTTAGGCTTACTTTTTTTTTTTTTTTTTTTTTAATAAAAATTATTTTAGAGAGGAAGGAAGGGAGAGAAAGAAATATCAATGTGAGATACATCCATTGGTTGCCTTCTGCATGTGCCCCAACTGGGGGCTGAACCTGAAACCTAGGTATGTGTCCTGACCGAGAATCGAACCAGAGACTTTCCCGTCCAACCAACTGAGCCACATGGGCAAGGGCCTCTTTGTCATTCTTGTATAAACAAAACATAGCTGCTCAGCTACAGCAATTCTCAAACACAGATGTGCTTTATGATCATCAGAGAGAACTTAGGAATGCAGGTGTCCAGGCCTTACTCCAGCTTGCTCAGTCAGAAATGCAGGGTTAGGGTTAAAAATGCCAGATTCTTGCATTTAAAAAACAAACACATAAAAAAGCTCCCGAGACAATTCTAACGTGGCTATTTGAACAGTGTTGACAAATTATTGAACCGCAGCCATTTTTTAGAAAGGGAAAACAACACTGGCTAGAAGCCAGGGGAAGTTGTATTTTTCATTATGAAGCGAGTGTTGTTTTCAGTGGACACTGAGCTCGGAAACACATGCTCAGGGCAAGGCCTCTTTGTGCCTCAATGTTCTTTGGTTATACAGCTGTGCCCAGTCTAGTTTCATCGTGTGTAGGGGTTAGGGTGTTTTAAAAAATACCTAACCCAGGAAACAAATGTTCTCATCAATGAGTCACTCTTACGGAAGATAAGATCAAAGAAGCAGTAGAACACATGAGTCATAATTTGTGTAAAGAGGTCATGATTAAATATTATTTCAGTGCATCAACATAGAAGGAAATACCCAGATACCAGGGATTATTTAATGCCTGAAGAGACTGTCTAGTCCTAGCATCTAGGTTCTTTTATTTTTTTAAGTGAAGTAAAATTCACGAAACATAAAATTAATCGTTTTTAAAGTGAACTATTCAGTGGCGTTTAGTACATTCACAATGTCTAGTCATAAAACATGTTTATCATTTCGTCATCCCACGAGGAAACACCACACTTGTTAAGCAGCTGCTCTCAACTTGCCTGCCCCATCAGCCACCTTTTCTCACCTAAGTTCCCAGGACATTTGATCCCAAAGAAACAGAAAATCAGAAGTTCTTTCAATGCCTAAACACCCTACTTTCCCAGTGCTAGTACCTCTGAAAACTAGGTCCCACTGCTCACTGAAACTGGAATAAAGTTATCAAGTTCTTCACATATTATACTGATGTAAAATCAAGACAATAAACACATGTTACACGGTAGCCAGCTTTATAAACTGAATTGAAAGAAAATCCAAACTAAACCATCAACAAAACAACAAGAAAGCCCACAATGTGGGAGAACATATTTGCAAATGTTACCACTGATAAAGGTTTAATCTCCAACATCTACAAACAGCTTATACAACTAAATAAAAGGAAGATGAATGATCCAATTAAAAAATGGGCAATGGACCTAAATAGAATATTTCCAAAAGAAGACAGAAGGAAGGCCAAAAGGCACATGAAAACATGCTCAAAGTCACTAATTATCCGAGAGATGCAAATCAAAACAACAATGCGGTACCATCTCACACCTGTCAGGATGGCCAACATCAACAGATCAACAAACGACAGGTGTTGGCGAGGTTGTGGAGAAAAGGGAACCCTCGTGCACTGCTGGTGGGAATGCAGACTGGTGCAACCACTGTGGAGAACAGTGTGGAGTTTCCTCAAAAAACTGAAAATGGAACTCCCATTTGACCCAGTAATCCCACTCCTAGGAATATATCCCAAGAAACTAGAAACACCAATCAGAAAGGATATATGCACCCCTATGTTCATAGCAGCACAATCTACAATAGCTAGAATTTGGAAACAGCCTAGGTGCCCATCAGCAGATGATTGGATCAAAAAACTTTGGTACATCTACACAATGGAATACTATGCTGCCATAAAAAAGAAGGAATTCTCATCATTTGTAGCAACCTGGATGGAAATGGAGAACATCATGCTGAGTGAAATAAGCCAGTCATTGAAAGAAAAACACCACATGACTTCACTCATTTGTGGATAATAAAGAACATTATAAACTGATGAACCAAAAGATAGATATAAAGATAGTATATCAACAAGCAGACTGTCAAATTACAGCGGGGAGGGGAGGAAGATCTGGGGGAGATAATAGATCAATCGAAGGACTTTTATACATGCACATAAGTACAACCATTGGACATAAAACTCTGGGGAGGGAGGGGATGTGAGGGAGGGAGGGAGGGGGGGCAAAAAAAAATATATATATATTTAAAAAAAAAAAAGACTGAAGAAAGGACCTCTTTTCCACTATTTTGAATGCTTAATAGCTAATTTCATAACATCACATGTACCATTTTAAGAAAGTGATGATTTAGTGGGAAATTAATGCTTTGCATCTGTATACTGTAAATATAAATGACGATTTGTTTGAAATGTGTAACTTGGATATGCAAAAGATAATAACTCACAATGTTAATATTAAATATTCCTTCAAAAAAAATAAATAAATATAAAAAAAAAAATAAAATAAAAAGAATAAAAAAAAAAAAAAAAAAAAAAAAGAAAGAAAATCCAAACTGACTTACTCTCCAGTCATTCTGCATTTGTCTATCTAGATGATTGAGGGCTAGAGGAAATGGTAGCTGGAACGGGATAAAGCTATAAATCAACCTGCCCCCGTCTGCCTCCCAGAACTGGCACACAGTGATCGAGTGGGGAGAGAGGTCTGGTGTGGATTCTATAGACACCACACTTGTAGAACAAGGAGTGAGTTTGTGAGTCCTATAATGACGTAGTCAAACGTGATGTCTAATAAGTGTGCATAAAGTAGATTCTTCATCTAAGCAATAGTTTTTATCACTGTTTCTCTCTGTAAGCATCCATGGTAGACTATTCCACTTATCAACTTTGTTATTCTTTTAAAAACATTTTTTATTTTAGGAAGGGAGGGAGAGAAAGAGAAACAGAAACATTGATGTGAAACATGTCCACTGGTCATTACAGAACCCACAAACTCACTCCTTGTTCTAGAAATGTGGTGTCTTTTTATCTGTCAGTCTTCCCATCAGGGCGAGATAAATAGACAGTGTATCTGCTGTCACTCTTCCCCTAACCTGGTTCTACCACTGACTAGCTATGTGATCTTGGACAAGTTTCTCAACTTTTCTATGCCTTACTTTCTTCATTTGCATACAGAACCTACTTCATAGGGTTAGTTTGAAGATTCAATTAGTTATTAGTTAGAACAGCACCTGGCACATCTACACTAATAAAAGAGAAACATGCAAATTAACAATCACTCCACTACACCCACCAGCCAATTAGGATCAAGTATGCAAATTAACCCAACTAAGATGGCCGTGGCCACAAAGCTGGAGCCAGCTGAAGACTTAGGTTGGTCCCAGTGATGGAGGAAGCCAAGCTTCCAGCCTGCCCTGGCCAGCTATGGCCTCTGCTCAAGGCTACAAAGTTTCAATTATAGAAGATAAATAAATCCTAGATACTTGCTTTTAGCAGGCCCTGGCCTCCCCTCAGAGGCAAAAAAAAAAAAAAAAGAAAGAAAAAAAGGAGGAGCTGGGAACTTGGATAACCAGGGGGCATGGCCAGTCTGCAAACAGCCATCAGCAAGCACCTCACCCAGGCTGGCCAGACACCCCAGCAGGACCCCCATCCTGATCCAAGACACCCTTCAGGGCAAACCACCCTTCAGGGCAAACCATCTATACTAATAAAAGGGTAATATGCTGATTAGACTAGAAGAACTTCCAGGAGATCTTCCAGATGTTCTCTGGACAAAGCCATGGTGGCAGGGCCAAGGTAGACGTGGTATGAGGCCAAGAGGGGAGGGCAGCTGTGGATGATCAGGCTGATAGGGGGTGGGGCTATTGGGGGTAAGCAGGCCATCAGTGGGGGTCAGTTGGAGATGATCAAGACAGCTGTGGGGCAGTTTGGAGTGAATAGGCCAGCAGGGGGGCAGTTGGGGGCAAGCAGGCCAATGGGGAGGAAAGGTAGGGGTGAGCAGGCTGGCAGGAGTAGGGGGGGGCAGTTGGGGGAGAGCAGGCCGGCAGAGGGAGCAGCTGGGGGTGAGCACACTGGCACGAGGGGGGGGCGGCGCGGAGAGCAGTTGGGAATGATCAGGCTGGCAGGATGGGCATTTGGGGACGAGCAGGCCAGTGATGGAGGGCAGTTAGGAGCGAGCAGGCCTGCAGGCAGAGTGGTTAGGGGCAATCAGGCAGGGAGTCAGGCAGGAAAATGGTTAGGAGCCAGCAGTTCCGAATTGCGAGAGGGATGGCCAACTGCCAGTTTAGGCCCGATCACTGTAAACTAGCAATAGGATATCCTTCGAGGGGTCCCAGGTTGGAGAGGGTGCAGCTGGGCTGAGGGACAACCCCCCCAACCCCGTGCACAAATTTCATGCACCGGGCCACTAGTAGTAAATAAAATTCTATAAATCTTAGCTATTATTATTTTATTATAACTGTAGTGATGTTGGCTATTTTGAATATTATTTATGAGAATGGAACATATCATTTATATATTTTACTGCTGTGGTAATATATATAGTTAGAATCCCTAATCAATGAAATTAATTACAATAGAAGTTTTTGTTTCTCAAACATATTTTTAAAAGAAATACATTTTGGGATAAGCAAAAAAAAAAACAAAAAACCCTCATACCTATATCCAAATATGTTATATTAAAACCCTGTTCCTTGGCGATTTCACTGAGCAGCTGGATGTAATTTGTGTTGGGAATACTGAGGAGGCTTCTCTTCAGCAGGTTGATCTTTTCACCAGGAGAATTCCTCAAGGAATGCCAAGTGCATCCTAAGGAATGTCCTACTACGTTTGTCTGAAAAACAGAGATGAAGGTTAAGATCGGAACTGGGACTGGTTTTCAACTATAATTAATTTAGAAGGCACTCACACTTAATAGTTTACAAAGCATGTTTAAGTGGACACAATTTGGTTAACTTTCTAATTTAAACAAGACAACACTAACAAGTACACACATTTAACAAATACCACGATGTTAAGAAAAAAGAAGCATGTATAGTAATATACTGGAAGTATTAATTTTTCTTTTTCTTTTTTAATACTGGAAGTATTTAAAGATATTTTGTATAGCACAAATGTCTCTCAGTCTAACTTTATGATAGTCACAGTAAGACATAAGATATTTAAGAGTACTATAAACAAATTTTCAAAGAATTGCATCTGACTAGCAATCTACAAATAAATTAAATATAAAACAATTTCTGTGTCTTTATGACTTTTTTTTATTAAATACCAATCCCTGTAACCAAAAACTGTAGAGCAGAAAACAAAGAAACTGTAGAAAAGGTGAAAAGTACGTTGGGTTTGAGAAGAACACGTTATTTAAATGAATATCAGGCTGTCACAGAGTTCTCAGACTTATATCCAGAACCCAACGGAGCTTATGTTTCTGTTTTCTTTCTCCTTTTTCTTTTTTCTCCCTTATATCTTCCCTTTCCACCTGTATTCAGAATGTTTCACATTCCAAGTTAATGTTTCTTAAATTATTTTTCTTTATTATGTCATTTACAAAAACCACTACAACTACTCTTTGAAGTAAGTAGGGTGACCTATCCTTAGTCTTACTTATTAATGAGCCCAGACATAGGTTAAGAAATTTTCAAAAGATCATGGGAATGGCCCTGATATAGAATTGAGTAATTTGTACAATTTACTAAATAGAATTTTACATTCCTGGATTGAAACTTTAAATAAAATTGGTTTTTAATCATAATTAATTCACATGGTTAAAAAAAAACAAAAACCTGCAATTAACCTAGATGGAATTGGAGAACATCATGCTGAATGAAACAAGCTAGTCAATGAAAGAGAGACACCACATGACCTCACTTATTTATGGATGATAAAGAACATTATAAACTGAAGAAACAAAAGATAGATATAGAGACAGTAAAGCAACAAGCAGACTGTCAAATTACAGCGGGGAGGTTGGGGAGATCTAGGGGAGATAAGAGATCAACCGAAGGACTTGTATACATGCATATAAGTACAACCAATGGACACAAAACTCTGGGGAGGGAGGGTATGTACGGGAGGGGGGGGATTCGTATGTGTACAAAAACAATCATAAAAAAATATATTATAAAAAAACAAAACAAAACAAAAAAAAAACCCTGCAATTAAAACAAACATCTAATGAATAGTGGTCTTTTTTCCTTACCTCTCCCTCCCCAAAGATTTCTGTTCCACTCCCCAGAGGTACTTGCTATTAAATTTTTCTTCAGTATCCTTCCATAAATGTTCTATGCACATTCAAGCAATCTTTTTAAACAGAAATGATAGCTTCCTCTTCTACATCTTACTCATTCTTCTCATCTTTGCACATACATGTACTAGATTTATTATCAGCCTCCAACTAAGGGTTTTAGGTTGCTTCTGGTTTCTTGCTTTTAATAACAATGTTACAATAAAACCCCATTGCACTTAAATGACTTTCTGTGCAGATTAATTTTTAGTAGAAATGTTGAATCAAAATACATGCATGTTTTTAATTTTGGTAAATACTTCCAAATTGATTTTAAAACTCTTCATACTCCCATCAAAGTCTTAAAGCGTGCTTGCCTTCTCATATTCTCACCAACACCAGGTGTTATCAAACTTTGTCGATTTTGCCGATCTAAAATATGAAATTAGTATATTGTTTAACTTGCACGAATAAACTTTTTTTTTTAAGATAACTGTTTGTATTTCTTCTACTTGGTTGTCTTTAAGACTCACTATATCCTACATTTAGCTCATTATCTGTTCCTCCTCAAATCTCACTCTTTTTCTGTGGTCCCCATATGAATGAGTGGAACCACTATCTACTCAGCTGCCAAACTAAAAATGTTTACTTCCTCCCTTTTCCTTACTTCCCATATCCAATCAATGATCATGCCCCCTTCACTTCAGTTTTCTAAATAATTTTTAAACCTACCATTTCTACTGCTACTCCTTTAATTTAGGCCACCGACATTTGTCATCTGCTTTCTATAACAGCATTCTAACAGGTCTTTTAATATTCATTAACTCTTCCTAACACAGCCAAGTGATTTTTCTTCTACTGGATAAATTAGATGCTGTGAATCCAGATTAAAATTCTTTGATGACTTTGTGCTCCTCTCAGGATAAAGTTCAGTCTCCTTAAAGGCCTCACGATCTGAGTCTCCAACTCTCTGCTCCAGCCGTACAAAACTACTTAGGGTTCCTACCCTGCATATGATGTTTCACTCCTGCGCTTTCTTCTCTCTGGAGTTCTTTTCCCCACTCTCAACCTACAGGTCTTAATGTAAACATTACTTCCTCCAAGGAGCCTTCCCTAAGCCCCCAGTCTTAGCTGGATGGCTCCCCTATGTTCCCACAGCAGCTCTGTAAGGACCAGTCTGTAGGGTTCTTTTCCCTCTTTCTGTCTGCTATAAATGCCTTAGGAGCAGAGACTGTCTTATCACTGTCTGCCAGCACCCAGCACAAAGCTTAGCACAGAGTATGAGCTCACTAAATGTTTCTTGAGTGGATAAATGAATGAGTAAAAAAAGGAATGGGAATGCACTGTCAATTGAAGGCAAAAATAGCACTACGGCCTATTATCTTCAGATCCTCATAATATTCTCAATTTGTCTATTTTCCTAAGCCCTCTGACCTGGTCACCCCTATGACCCTGGCTCACATATAGCAAGCAGATTAAATTGGGGTAGTGTATAACTAAACAACGAAGAGTTTTCAAAAACTGCAACTATGAATTATTAATGCAACAAGAAATCTAGGCAAGTTTCCTACAGCAAGAGGTGGAGGGGGAGGGGCGCAAAAGAGAGGAGAATGGGAAATATTTGTAATTCTGTCAACAATAGATTTTTTTTCATCACATTAATATCATAGCTGTATGATCATTACTCACTAAAGAAATGTGGTTCTCTGGAGAAATGTTACTGAATTTGGCAAGAAATTTCTCAGCAGCATTTCTCTTGGCTTGTTTTTTTGATGCCCCTTTTCCTAAATAATTAAAAAGAAATGGTAGGTTTAGAAAAAAAATGTTTCCACAGAGAATCATCAAACGTATATTGCATTTAATCAGAGAACAACCTCATGGTTTTTATATACTAGTCTATTCTTTACTGACCTGACATCTTTGCTTGCTGTGATTCATATAGCTATTCATTCTTACATTTTTTAAGGCATTTTGATCAAATATTCAAATTTATCAAGGTATGTTTGAATTACCACTTGTTTCTCATTGTTTACTTCCTTCTTACAATTTTCTATAAACTGACAATTATGTGGAATTTCTCTAACATGAATAAGAAAGGAGATACTGAAGTTGAAAGACACCTTATATTTCACCTCCTTCCATGCTTCCGTTAGATTTAAAAACTAAGCCCAGAGAGATTGAGCTGCCTATCCTGCAAACCAAAGACTGCGTCAAGAACAGGAGCTGAGGTTCCCGCTTCCTGCTCAGTGCTTTCTGTCCTGGCTCACACTACCTCTTTTTTCTTTTTTTAAAAAGATGTCTCATTTTATTTTTTTATTTATTATTATTATTTTAAAAATATTTTTACTGATTTCATAGAAGAAGGGAGAGAGAGAGAAACATCAATGATGAGAGAGAATCATTGATCGGCTGCCTCCTACACACACCCCCTACTGGGGACTGAGCCTGCAACCTGGGCATGTGCCCTTGACCAGAATTAAACTTGGGACCCTTCAGTCTGCAGGCCAACACTAGCCACTGAGCCAAACCAAGTGGGGCCCACGCTACCTCTTGAGGACAAAAAGTAGCTTGTCTGTTGAAACTAATACGTACCCAAGGCAAAATTCCCTTTCAAACCATTTTAAATATAAGAGAAACATGTTAGGGAATTTAAATAGGAATCCTCAATAGTACTTTATTAAGTAACTTTTTTCCCTCATAGTTTATGGCCTTTACAACATAAAAGCTGCTGTCACTGCAATGTTTTATCATCTAACCTTTTATTAATTTTCTTGTTTTCAAATGCAAACAAGATGTTTTCTAGTCCTATCTTCTAGAATAGCTGCTGAAACACCAAATGAGATTTCTTAAGTACGTAGTATATCAATGAGGACTGTATAATGAGTCAATTAGTTATTTATCTTTCCATTAATAACTCTTGATTTTTAAAAATATCAAATTAAGAAGTATAAGTATTCTTAAACCAAATATTTACTTAAATTCATCCTCAGAATGTTAGAGACAGTAGAACAGGAGAGTATCAATTTTTCTCAATAAAAAAATTTGAGAAGTTGCCACAACAGAAATTTCTATGGTCATTCATCATCTGAAAATACTTCAAATGTCTTCAATTGTATGAGGATAAAAGTACATAAGTACCAGTTTCCATAAATGACTCTAGCTTGCAGATTGTGGTATATTCTCTCTTATGAGCAGGTCCTCCTTCCTGGGAAAGGGTATATTCAGGAAGTCTCCAGCCATGATGAATAGCCAATTCCTAGAAAATTAAGATGAGGCTTTAGTAGTAGTTTTTACTATGCAAAGGCTCAATCTCATTTCTATTAATATGTTTAAAGGATAATGATATTGTGCAATAGAAAAATTAGGGAATACCCTTGTAAGCCCACAATACCAAAGCTGAAGCAGATTCCTACGTATGAATGGCATCCTGCCATTAAGCCACAGTGACTTGATATGGAAGAGTTCAAGTATGAAGACAAATTGAGTAGAAACCTCAGAGGATATCCAGCGGTTTCACAGCCAACAGATCCTAAAACCTTTCCCCTGATCTATAGACTCCCCTACCCACAGCTAGCTAACCACTGTAACTGATCAAGAGCAAAAGAGGAGCAGAGATAGAAAACAGACTTGAATGAGGTTGGGAAAAGAGGGAGAAAACCACAGAATAACTCATGGAACAGGAAAGAGACCAAAGGTCTGGTTGGATAATGGGGAGGGGAGTTGTCCAACAGAGCACACAGATAATCTGTAAGAAGGATATTCTGTATGCAGAAGTTCAAAACTGAATATATATATATATATATATATATATATATATATATATATATATATATATATATTTGGTAGAAGAAGCAAATGCAGACTTCTTCCCTATTCTTGAACTAGGCTACCTGATTTGAGTTCTTTAAATTTAGTCTTCTGTCTCAACAAAAGTAGAAAGAGGTTTGTCAAAAAAAAAAAGGGGGGGGGGCAAGAAACATTGTGAAGGTATAAAACGTATGCAGAGGTTCTGTTGATCTCATATGAGAATCCCACAAACCAAAGGCATATATTGTATATGGAGGAAAATTCAAAACATAAACAGGAAAATAATTTCAAGCACTATAATATCTAATGATCATAACTTAGAAAACAAAATATCATACCACCTTATCTTTAAAATATTAATTCCTTGTCTTAGCCCTTGATTGTATCAATTTATGACATCTTTCTTCAGTAGACAAAATGTTAAATATGGAAAAACTATGCAACTTACCTGCAATGAACCAATAGGATTAAGCTGGTTCTTTGGTTGCTTGGAAGGGTCAGGCATTGAGGGGTCAGGAACTGCAAAGCTAAACGTTTTTAAAAGTGTTACAAAAAGAAATGATTTCCCCCAGTTATCAAATAATGACAAGCATTTTCTCTCTAACGCTCTATGCCTTTGCTTTCACTGTTCCTTCTACACAGAATGCCCTTAGCTCCCACCTCTTTCACGAGAATCTGATCTACCCATCACCCAAAGTATATCTTAATTCCCACGACCTGTAAAAAGCCTACCCTTTCACCCCAATGGAACATACTTTCTCCCTCCTTTGAGCCATTATAACATTTGGTTTGACTCTTTCTTAAGCAAACTATTTTGTCATAAGTTATACACTCTTACAAATACATGTAATTTGTGCATCCCTCGCCACCTCTCGCCTCTGTTTAGACTGTAAACTCCTTGATGGTAGGGCCCATCTATTATTTTCATAAGCCTTGTAATACTTTGCATATAATTGGTGCTCAATAAAATGTATTTAAGTAAAGCATACTATTGTTACAACTACACAAAGAAGGAAGTCTAATAATTAGTTAGGAAAGTTAGCCTGTGAATCATGTAAATCATAAATGCAGTTTTTTTCATTCAGATAATTATAGAAGACAAATCTGTTTGATATATCATCTGGTCTATGCTAGGATAACCCTAAGATTAATATACATCCTAGATGGCTTGCATGAATCTGGTTTCAGCATCTGATGATTGTTATTAAGAAAAAAGAAAACAATCTTTTCTAAGTAATTTGAAATACTAACTACTTGGGTGATGGGTGCCTGGTGCTGAATAAGCTATATTCCAAGGTTACTACCATTGAGGCAACTGAAGAGTCATTTCTTCCATGAAAATGGGACTTAGTTACCGCCACTTCCTCAAGTTTATTTTTTACCAGAATTTCAAGCTTTGCAGAGGCTGATGAGATCTGAATATTCACTTACAATGCTGCATGTCTAAGCTATCCAAATAACTGTGATAAAGAAATAAGAAAGTCTGTATTAAATCAGGCCACTTTAGGCCTCATTATAGCTTAGTAATTCCCATTTTATCTGCCAAGGAGCACAGCATATACAGAGAGGGGCAAAAGTAGGTTTATACTTGTAAGTATACATAACAGTTTATTCTTGTGTTATTAATTAATTATTGTATTATTTTTCATATGAACAACTGTAAAACTACTTTTGCCCCATCCTGTAAAGCGCATGAGCCTTTTTTGCTGATAATGTGAAGTGCTCATGTGCAGGAAGGACACAGCGTACACCCATTTCCACAGATGCACTTAACACTTGGGTTGGTCTTGGGCTGCACAGAAATAGTTTGGCCATCACAAGCAAGGTGGGGGATCCAGTACCTGCCATCCCCTTTGCCATGTCTAAAAAGGTAGCATAAATCAATTAGAGAGTCAAGCATTATTTTATAAAATCCAAGGCTTTCACTGACTAAACTATCCAAATGGTTGGAATAATTTAGAAAGAGGGAGCAGCACTGCGTGAGAGCCTAGATTAAGGTGACCAGATGGTCCCGCTTTTGGCGGGACAGTCTTGATTTCTAACAATTTTTCTTGCGTCATTTAAAAAAAGTCCCGATTTTTAATCTTTCCAAAAATCGGGACTTTTTTAAAATACTGCGGGACACAGGGAAAAATTGTTAGAAATCAGGACTGTCCCACCAAAAGCGGGACCATCTGGTCACCTTAGTCTAGATCCAACCCTAAGTCAAGAGTTTTGCTATGGCTGGGAGCAAAAACCCCATGGGCCTATGCTCTCAGCTATGAACAGATATGCAAACTATACTCCAGATACATCTGAGTGCATGCAGAGAGAAGCCACTGAAGGCACACTGTATTCCAGGCTGTGCCCATTAGACACCGAGGACACCACTTTAAGATACATGAGATCTCCAGGACCAGCACTCTTTCCAAAAGTAACTAATGTGCTTACAAATTTATATTGGAAAGATATGTCAAGAATTAACATCCCATTGAACATCCTTTTGTATTTGGCATACATTCTATAACAAAAGGAAATCTTTTTGTCTCCTTCCAAATAGAATTTCTGAGTGCTTTCAGCTGCTCTTTTCCCACCTCACACCTTGCTTTCTTCAGTGTAGAAATAGTCTTAATACAGTAAGACATTGGTCAGAAAAACTCTGGTTTCCAACTGCTGCACGCCATCCAGTAAACAAACAAATAGTAGCCTAGCTCAAGGGGGCCTTCATTTAATTTTTAATTGCTGGATTTAATTTCTTTAGGATAAATTGTCTTTAAATGATGATGGATTTTCACAAGGTAATAATATTCTAGAGCTGCATACTAAACACTGTTCCCTCTGTTGCTTTTTCCAAGGATGTTCAAACTTTTAATCTTACCTCCTCAGCCATGATATTTTTGAGCTGCAGAATACAAAGAAATTTAGCTCACCAAATACTTGCATTGGCTTTCAAAATGTTTATGGCAGCCTCTGCAGCTCTATGTTTCGCCAGCTTCTTACTTGTACCTTCACCTGAATTAAGGTTAACAACAACAAAAGTATATGCTGTGAAAATGTGAGGTCTGCATAGATGATTTCATATTGCAAAATAAAGTCAGGCTTTATATAGTTATAAAACATATACTATAAATATGCTATAATAAAATATTCACCACATGAAATACATTTAAAAAAAACAAGGTTTTAAAAGTTCTGTGTGTGTGTGTGTGTGTGTGTGTGTGTGTGTGTGTGTGTGTGTATCAGAGAGGAAGGGAGAGGGAGAGATAGAAATGTCAGTGATGAGAGAGAAAATCATCAATCAGCTTCCTCTTGCATACCCCCTACTAGGGATCAAGGCCGCACCCTGGGCATGTGCCCTTGACCAGAATCAAACCCGGGACCTTTTGGTCAGTAGGCCGACGATCTATCCACCCAGCAAAACCAGCTAGGGCAGAAGTTTTATGTATTTAATTCTATGTATACCTGTATAAAAAAAATCCATATTATCTCTCCATTATATATTTATTACATGACGTGGTAATAAAGTAGCCCATATTACACCTTTTGAAGACATTAGTAAAGTACTCTTCCCCTATTCACAGAGAGAAAATTCTTCTGTAACAAGAAGTTTCCTTTAAGGGAGCCACTCACAGCAAAATGTGCCCAATTTTACTCAATCGGCCTGTCCTATTCTGGATTAACGCCTTGATCTGATAAGCAGTCATGGCATATATTGGGCTCATTGTGGGAAGAATGATATGGGAAGGAAGGTGAGAGTTTATGTTATGTGTTTTCCTTACAATCTGTATCCCTTAGGGGTAGGTAAGAGGGCCTGAGGGGATAGTCCTGACTGATCAGTGACATGATGCCTAACTGTAGTAAGTAATCACATCTGGTAACTGGTAAATTCAATCTTTTTCCTCTGTGTTCAGAGGAGGTGTTGAGAACCCTTCGAAAGTGGTATTAGAATGCTCACATCCATTCCTCTGGTGTGGAAGAAAGAAAAGAGACGTGGAATAATTTCCAAAGACACACACCCTGTACTCATTTATCCACCAATACAGGTATTAGTGATACAAAAGAGAACTGAACAGAGTCCCTACCTTTAAAGAGTTCAAGCCCTAGTGCAGAATTCCTTCATATCTGCAACATGGAATGGTACATGCATGTGATGGCAGTCCTAAGCGCAGGCTGCATGGGAGCACACACAGGGGCAGCTCCCTACACTTAGGAAAGATTCAGAAAGGCTTCACGGAGAAAGGAAGAGATAACTCCATGAAGACTGGAAAGATTAGTAAAAGTCAGGAACACGTAGAGTTAGGGGTTGAGAAGAAGAATCTAGGCAGAGAAAAGAGCACAGGCAAAGGCTCCAAGATAAAGAGCGTGGTTATCTCAACAGCCCCGGGTAGCTGGATACAATAAGAGCTAGAAGGAAGAAACTTTGAGATAAAAGGCTAGAGAGTTGTAGGAATAGGAGAAGGGGTCAGAGAACGGCCTCCTAAACTCCTGCTTCTCAAACTCTAATGTGCATTGGAAGAGCCTGGGAGTTTTGTTAAAAAAAAAAACAACATACTCTGATCTAGCAGGTCTGGCATGGGTCCTGAGATTCTGCATTTCCATCAAGTGTCCACATGATACCAATGCTGCTGTTGATCAGTTTTAGCAGCAAGGTTCTAAATCAGATCAATAAATATATATTCACCCAGAGGGTAATGGGGGAACTATTGGATGGATTTGTTTTTTAAATATATTTTTATTTTATGTTTTTAAATATATTTTTATTGATTTCAGAGAGGAAAGGAGAGGGAGAGATAGAAACATGAATGGTGAGAGAGAATTGTTGATTGGCTGCCTCCTGCACACCCTCCACTGAGTATCAAGCCCTGCATGGGAATCGAACCATGACTTCCTGGTTCATGGATTAATGCTCAATCACTGAGTCACACCGGCCGGGCACTGCATAGATTTTAAGACGAGGAAGTACATGAACACACTTGAATGTCAGAAAGAACATTCTGGTTGTCATGTAGAGAATGGACATCACAAGACTAGAAGCTAAAAGCACAGTTATAAGACTGTAGCCATAATCCAAGGGGGAGATGACAGTGGCCAAACAGTAGCAATGGGAAGAAGAGAGCCGGGGACAGATTCAAGAGATAGTTAGGAAGATTTGGTGATAGCCTGGACAAGAGAGGAAGACATCAAGGAGATCAGACACAAATTTCTATTATGAGCCAATGGGTGACGGTGGTCCACTGACTGAGCTAGAGAAAGCAGAGGGAATGGGTTTGAGAGGGAAGATGGATTCGGTCAGAGGCAATGAGAGAGTGGGGTGTCTTTGAGTCCTCCAAGTAAAGATGTCTCGCAAACACATGTTGATACGCTGTTCTGCAACTGGGCCTGGACTGAAGATAGAGGTTTCAGAATTATCAGCCTGTAGATAGTATTTGAAGCCGTGGAGGCAGATAAGCTTGTACAGGAAGACAGGGCAGTGTAAGAAGAGTAGAGGGTCTGGACAGAATGGTTGCTATAGGTTATTAATCACTGGTCTATAACACATTGAGGGGGGAAAGGCTACCTTTTCTTGAATTTTCATTGAATATTTAAAAATAGAGCAGCTAAAGCAATAACGCAGTGTTGATTCTATGGTTCACATGAAGACTATTGAAGCTGGCACCTCCAATCCACCTGCCTCACATAGAAAAAAAAAAAAAAATCCCACAAAGAACTTCAAAATTGTCTTGAAGTGGCTTTAATGAAAATAGCGGACTCAATGTTTTCAAGGACACAAATGAATGATTTTTTTAGATTATAGAATGATAGGACTTCAGCCTTCCTGCTACAATTTCTTCTTGACATTCTTCCAAACTAAATTTACTATTCAATATTTTTTTAGTTTGCAATTAAATAGGTACATAAGAAATAGAATGTCTACATTTACAAATGGGCAGCTTCAGTTATAATTTGCTCAAACTCAGAGACCATAATAAGGTGAGTTTAAACTCTGAAAGTTTACTGCTATGTAACATGGGGCATGTTATTTCTAATCTCCTTGAACCTATTTCTATATATATATATATATATATATATATATATATATATATATATATGAGATAACAGCTTATTGAAATCCCTGTACAGTGTCAGAAACTATAATAGAAGCTGCTATGCAATTAATATAACTCTATATTGATTAATATAACTCTACATTCAAGCCATTTGCCTTCCTCATTTTGCTTGGATACAGAATCGAGTGTTGTACAATGAGCCTAAAGTGGCAAATGAGTCCACACAGAAAGGGGAGAGGTTCCAGAAAATTCTGGGGTCATGGAATCAGCTATAATCTATGAAACTTTAAAACTTGATAGCACCTACTGATCCAGCTATGGCTGCTCCAAGAACCTTTCCTGCTTCTCCCTAATTCTTGGAAGAACCCTAGGAGGGTCCTAGGATGTTTCTGAGCTTCTCTTGGTATCTGGGGAAGAGAAAATCAGGGAGAGAATCAGACGAAGTTGGAAAAAATCCCAATGGCCTGAGATGAGAGGTCTCATTTCAAGAGCCTGCTCCTCACAGCTATCTCCAGTAAAAAAAGGGCGCCTGCCCAACGGATAAACAGTATCAAGTCTTGACGGTCCACCCGCAGGGTCGCCGGGGGTTCGCTGTTGTGCATACAGACCTGTGCAGGTTATGTCCCCAACGGTTACTCTGAAGGTGAAAGTGGGCACGTGTATTTGCATATCGGATCTTTCACACTCATACACCGGGATGTTCTTGGTCTTCATGCCGTATTCGTGCAATACCTGAATCGGTGTTTTCCCCGGTTTAGCTGTAATCATCTTCCCCAAACTGCAAAAACAAACAGATAAAAAGGGTGTGCGTGCTTTGCATGCCAAAGCAGGGAGGAAAGCAGGAGCTTTGCAGAGGCTAGTTCTCACGGCCACCTCCGGTGATTCCCGAGCACCAAAGCTTCGAGGGGCTGGAGCTGGCCGGGCACGCCATCTGCCCGCCCCTCTGCGGGGAGATGGTTTGAATGAGGGTAGAGCGGATTCGCAACCTCTGAGGACCAGGCTCACAGATCTCATTCCCCGGGAAGCCCCGAACCACCTCCGCCTGCCCAGCCCCGGACCCAGGAGGACGCCAAAGGGGCGGGGCCCAGCCGCAGACCCCGGCTGGCGGGCCACCGAGGGCGGGTCCGAGCGCCAGCGGGTCCGCCCGCAGCAGCTGCGGGGGAGAGCGCGTCGGGAAGCGGGGGGGGGGGGGCTCTACCCACAATGCCGCTGGGGAGCCAGGCTCCCGCGCCCCGCCTCCCCGCCCACCACTCTCGGCCCCGCTATGCGCGGCCCCGGCCGCCCGCGCTGACCTGAAGGTCCCGCTGTCCTCGCGCTCCAGCGGCGGGGCCGCGGCGCGATGCCTGCTCTGGGACATGGCGAGAAGGGCGGGCGGGCTCGGCGGCAGGAAGAGCGCTGCGGATCGACGTCCTCGCTCCCGGGTCGGCCGGCCACCGAGAGGAACGCTCCAGCGCCGCCGCCGCCGCCGCCTCCTCCCCAACTCCTCTGCTTCCCTCCTCCGACCCCCACCCCCTCGGCTCCCCGCCTGCGTCCCTCCGGCGAGGAGGATGGGCGGGGCCGGGGGCGGGGCCTCGGCGCGGCAGCGCGGGTCCAGGCTCCCGGCCACGCCCCCTCGCCGTCCTGGATCCTGGCCCTCCGCCCCGCCCGCCGCCTCTGCGGCGTCTGGCCCCGCCCCCTCCGTTGCAGGCCCAGGCTCCCGGCCACGCCCCCTTGCTGTTCTGGATCCTAGCCCACCGCCAAGCTCCGCCCCGCCCACCGCCTCTTCTGCGTCTGGCCCCGCCCCTCGCCATAAGCCCCGCCCCGTCTCCCAGCCCAGGCTCTGCTTCCATGCGTACCCCACCTTGGGGCCTCCGGCTTCTCGGCATCCTGTGTCCCGGCCTATGGAGGCCTCAGTTCTGCGTCCTTAAAAGGAGGCCGTTCTTGCCGGGAGAGAGAGGCTGGTGGGGTTGGCAAGACTCACACAGTCTGTGGGCCTGAAGCCCAGCCTTATTTTGTTGTGTGTGGGTTTTTTTCTGGCGGGGTGAAGGATGAAAATTCCAAAGGCCACATTTGAAGAGAGCATCCCTGGGCCTGGTCCGAAGCTTGAGACTCGAGGTGCACCAGCCCCTGAGGGCTGCGGTGGCTCCCCCCTGCAGCCCTGCCTTGAGGAGCTCGCGGGGACGTCCAGAGACCCCTCCTCCTCTCTTGCTCCGTGGGGCCTCTTTGTCTTACACAGGCTTTTGTCTCGAGAATAAATGTGGGGCCTGCGGATCCCAGCAAGGCCTGCTAGGTGTCAGCGAAGGCTTTTCTGTGAACCAGATTCTAATTAAATATTGTTCTCTGCACACCTGTGGTGTTGGTTGTGATGGCGTTTGCATGGGATGCACCACCTTTGTTTTGATAGGTCAGACAGCGACCTGAGATGCCCAATCCTTCTCTAGGGATTTGCTAGCCACTTGCAGAAATGACTCCCTGTGGTTTCTTGGTGTTTTTGGAAGGTTCTTTGCACAACACTATTTGCACGAGGGGACATTAGTAAAAACTTCTTTGGAGGTTTGCACGTGAGCCCTGGATATCTGAAAGTAAATGTTTAAAAAATGTCCAGAATCTAATAAAATTGATTTATATTATTTGAGGCTTGAATCAACCTATTCTTTCTCTCTATATGTGTTGTATCGATTACTAGCCACCTAACTATGGCAATACAATATTTCAGCACTCAGATTTGTTTCTAAAGTGTATTTTAGCCACAAAAATCCTTTAAAAAACAAGACAAATCCTTATGTTGCTTTCTTTAACGGCTGAGTTACTGATGAATAATAATGATGAAACAAAATGAAAATAAAGACAGTAGGATCCCCTTTCAAAGAGCTATCCATGTGCCAGCCTCAGGGTAACTATGTTTATATAGTTATTTATATGTAATGTGGTTTTCATTCAGGATTTTATAAAGATCTGCATACGTTTGTTTCTTTATAGTCTGTGACTCTTATTAATCACTTGTTGTAACAAGGAAAATGAATGAATTGCTGAAACGAACTATATACCATAAGAATTCAAAACAGTACTTTTCTGTTGCCAGAGTTGGCATGATGGACTTGTGAAGGAATTCCCTTTGGACTAGGTACAGGGTAGCTGGTGTCCAGGCTAACGTTAGTGCATAATTGCATTTCCCTCAAAACTGGCAGACTACTATTAACCTTGACCCTCACTAAGGACATTGCTAGCATTTTAAAATTATTAGTTTCCTGTGTATATTTTAGTGCTATAGACTGCAGTTCCACATTAGACTTACTTTCAATATATCACTTTACACTGTTGATCTATAATTCATCACCTGAGCACACCAAGGGAGGCAGTGTTGTGAACTGTACACTATAAACTACTTGGTGGAACCATGCTTTTTATTTTTAAAATATATAATTATATTTAAAATCAAGTAAGGTTTAGATTTGTTCCTGATTTTCTTTGCAAATATGGATTTGTTATCTGAGGGTTGCAGTTGATGGGTATTTTGATACTATATTAATATGTTTGCTGCTGCTACCAAGAGCTTTGTCAAGCAAGTTGGAGATGGAGGGAGATTAGTTCCTGTTCCAAGCCTCAGTGAAGCTGACAAATACCAACCTCTAAGTCTGGTGGTGAAAAAGAAGCGATGCTTTCTGTTTCCTAGGTACAAATTTACCTCGACACCCTTTACACTGAAAGATATTCTTCTAGGAGACAGAGAAATTTCAGCTGGTAAGTTCAAATGTCTGTTTGAGAGTCACTGCTTATTCAGCTACATTGTTGGTAATCTAAACATAGGTCATTTTTACTGCTTCTGTTCATAATATTTACACATTTTCATTGATAAAAGCAATTTTTATTGCTATAGCAGTAATAATATTATTATGATTAACAGTGCCTAAAGTTTGTAATAGTATCAAATCTCTTATTGATCAAATAACTTTGAAACCTATTTTATAAGATTACTTTATAATTTTATTTCAATTATCTTATTGTTTTAATCAAATTAGCTTAGGAAATGGCATAGCAATATATTTTTTCATCTATGAAATGGAGGTATTATTTAGTCTTACCTATCTCACATGGTCAAATGAGATGAAAGTAATTTGTATTTATTTTTTATGATTTATTTATTACAGTTGGCAAACAAATATATTACAGACTTGGTTAGAAAATAAATGGACATTGAGACAAATTATTTCTTAGAAACATCTGCTTTTCTTTCAACTATCCAGTGGATCATGATGCATAAGAAATTCTGTCCAAATTGAGTTCATTTTAAGCACTCTAGCTATTTATTTCTTCTTGTTTTCTAATTAATTGGATGACTATATTTAATCTTGGTTTGAAACTTTGCCTTTCTTAATAGGTCGTTAATGAAGTCTTAAATAGTAAATTAATGTGTTACCATATGTAATCTACATTAGAATAATTAGTGACATTTGAAAAAATATTAACTTCCTTTTTTAAAAAAGGTATTTCATCTTATCAGCTACTGAATTATGAAGATGAATCAGATGTTTCACTCTATGGAAGGCGAGGCAACCATATTGTGAACGATGTGGGGATTAATGTTACTGGATCAGATTCTGTTGCCGTCAAAGCTTCATTTGGTGTAGTCACTAAACATGAAGTGGAAGTTTCAACATTACTCAAGGAAATTAGTTCACGGTCAGTATAATAATTATTGTCCTGCAGTGTTCTCAATATTTTTTTAAAATTATGTAAACTTCATTATAAATTATTAAAACATTCAGGTTTGTTTTAGTAATGTAATGTATTTGTTTGAAATAATACAAATTAGTAATATACCCAAACTTTTGATGGGAGTAGGTATCCAAAATCATTTAGTTTACAGAGAATTTTTAATTGTCCCACAAAATTGCTTTGGATAGGAATACATTTGCTAAATTATTAGATTAAAAGAATACAGGAATCTGCTTGCAATGAATATGCTAAGAGAGTTTCTCCAATAGACTCCTCTAGTAAGCATGTTTTAAGAAAATAGAAAGGAGAGGCAGATTATTCCATTTCTTTTGAGCATCCTTTCTGATTTGTGTTAAGCCTGCCTTGGTTTACTTTTAGTTAAGGTAAACTGTGAATGAGTAATACATGATAGCAAAAAATGTATTGGGTGATATGTAGTCAGATGCCATAGATTCTTGTGACTGTCTCTCTTGTTTATTTTAGAAAAATTAATTTTGATCACAGCTTGATACGTCAGTCAAGGAACAGCAGAAAGGCAGTATTGTGTGTTGTCATGGAAAGCATTCGAACCACACGGCAGTGCTCACTGTCTGTGCACGCTGGAATTCGTGGGGAATCCATGCGGGTAAAGGCACACTCATTATTCTTCTTTTATTAGAAAGCTGCAATGGGAATTTTTTTTTAAAGTACTCAAATTCCAATGGGACTTGTGTATTTGGTCAAATATTGAGATTAAAGAACTGCAATGGTATAAAGGATTTTGCATAGTAATGGTTTTGTATTAGAATGTGAAAAAAAATCCAAGAAAATTTGGATTGTAAACATGTCTAATATAATGAAAACAGAATACTAGTCCTCCTGAAATAATATACACACTGGAGTCCCTCTTATTGCTATTTAAATACTGTTTTAAGAGTAAAAATTAGATAATTTTACTGAATTCTTTGATATTTTCAAGTAATATAGTTTATATTACTTAAATTTTAAAAGTTGAATTTATAGTTTTATAATAAACTCATTTTTCTAAAATAATATTGTCAGTGACTAAACATATTACAATGTTAAATCTTTTTTAAAAAAAAATATATTTTATTGATATTTTACAGAGAGTAAGGGAGAGAGATAGAGAGCTAGAAATGTCGATGTGAGAGAAACACCGACCAGCTGCCTCCTGCACGCCTCCCACCGGGGATGTGCCCGCAACCAATGTACATGCCCTTGACCAGAATTGAACCCGGGACCTTTCAGTCCACAGACCGACGCTCTACCACTGAGCCAAACTGGTTTCAGCCAATGTTAAATCTTTTTAAAAGTCTTAAAAGTAATTTTGTATATTACTTCCATTATTATATTTGTCCTTGTCATTCACATAATAATGATTTGATTTCTAAATGTTAGAAAGACAGGGTTCAATGATAACCTTTTCAAGTCTTTGATAATAAAGCTTATATTTAGCTGCTCACCAAATTGTTTAACATTGGGTCATTTGGGCATGAACTTGATTTTGGTGATTGCTTTGGAAAGCTGCTAAAAGCTCTGTGGGCTTTGGGACAGTAGACAGGGTGGGCTTAAAGAAAGCCCTAGCACTTACGCACAGTTGGTTTGCATTTGAAAGAAAAAGGCTTCTATGCCAGAGAACTTAACTTTTGTGGTAGCACTAATCATTGGCTCCGTTACCAAAGTAAGGGAGAGAGTGGTGAGTGCCATTTCCTAATATAGATCGAGATCCCATCGGACCATTTGGAACTCTGCTATGAAGTTTACTTCCAGTAGGATAATTCTTTACTTGGAGAAGTGTTCTGTGTGCTTATTTCCTTTTGATAGGATTGAAGGAAATGTTATGTTCCTCCAAAAAGTTATCCTTACACGTTATGCTCCTAAATAATGTTACTTATTTATTTATTTATTTATTTATTTATTTATTTATTTATTTATTTTAATATAGTTTCATTTCATGGATGAACAGAATCCCAGGGGAAGGGACAAAGCTATTGTTTTCCCAGCGCACACAACCATAGCTTTCAGTGTTTTCGAACTCTTCATCTACTTGGATGGTGTTTTTGGTGAGTGAGTGATTTGTATGAAACACTGAATTGATTATATTTTTAAGTATTTAATTATCTCGCTTTGCCTCTTTAATTATAGAACAGTGATGCTCTCAGCATTGTCAATCTTTTTTCTAAAATATATTTTTATTGATTTCCAAGAGAAAGGGAGGAGAGAGCATCAGAAACATCAATGATGAGAGAGAATCTTTGGCTGCCTCCTGCATGCTCCCCAATGGGGAATCAAGCCTGCAACCCAATGGGACATGTGTTCTGACTTCCTCGTTCATAGGTCAATGCTCAACCACTGAGCCACACCTCTGGGCAGCACTGTCAAGCTTATGCTTGGATGAAGTAGCTAGAAATTGCTCTTTACTCCCTACTTAGCCAGTACCTCTTTCTGGTTCTTGATAAAGGCTATAGACTCCCACCATCCCACTTACAATTACAGATAAGAGCTAAAATGCAATCCAGCGACAAAAGTATTCCTTGACTTATGGGGAGATAACACATGGACTTCTAATAGATAGTTTTTTATTATGGCAAACAGAGAAGTAAACAGCAAGATGCCTGAAGATGTCAGGGCATCCAAACTAGTATACCTAAAGACAACTTTTCTTTAATTTTTATCTATTAGAGATCCACCCCACCTCAACTCTCCCTAAAAATAACTTTAAAAGTACAAACACTGCCCCTAAAATTATCACCTTATGTAATACCTCAGTGCAGCTTTATTTTTATTTTTAAAAATACATATTTATTGATTTAAGATTGGGAGAGAGATAGAAGCATCAATGATGAGAGAGAATCATTGATCAGCTGCCTTCTACACAGCCCCTACTGGGGTTTGAGCCTGCAACCTAGGCATGAGCCCTTGGTCAGAATCGAACCTGGGACCCTTCAGTCTGCAGGCTGATGCTCTATCTACTGAGCCTCTAGGGCAGTGTAGCTCACTTTAGATTTCTATACTTCACAGACCTTTAAGGTTAGGAGGCCAGCCAGCTTGAGTCTCAGTGTAGGCCAAAGGATCAGGCAAGTGAGTCCTCTGGCCAAGGTAATTTATAGACATTTTTAGACTGTTTATGTTTGTTTCTGCAGTTCTACTGGTAGAAGGACTAGGGAGTCCAGAGACAAAACAAAACATGCAAATTAAATTCTCTTTGGGACCCTTCAGGTGTAGGTTTTTTACAATTATATTGTTAGGAGGAGTCTGAACTGATAGAACTGATATCCATCAAAATTTTAAATGTGCATATACTTTAGCGTTGCTTATACTTTTAGGAATTTAAATATAGATATACTTACTTGTGTGAAATGATCTGGAGATAAGGATATTCAGTTCATAATAGTAGAAGACTGGAAATAATCTTAAGATCTATTATTAGCAACTATAATAAATAATGGTGCATCCATATAAAGAAATACTAAGGATGAGGAAGCACTACATATCTTGACATTGAATAATTTCTAAGAGATACTTGAAAGAAATGTGTGTAATATATAATGTTTTGAGCCTAAAGAATTTTGTGTACATACATACTTATTCGTTTATGCATGTAAAATATATGGGGCATTTCTGGAAATATACACAAGAAAGCTAACATGGTTACCTCTGGGGTGGAAAACTGAGGCTGTCAGGGTAGTCTAGAGATTTGTCACTATACTGCCTTGTTGTGCTCTTTGAATTGTGTACCATGTGAATGTTGCCTTTCCTAAAAATATGTAAAATTTAACTTAAGCAAATACAACGAAGTCATGTACCGGAATTCATCAGCCACAAAATATGAGTTCAACTTATAACATCTTCTAAATTCTCTTGTAGACCTTTGTGTCACTTCAGTGTCAAAAGGAGGATTTGAAAGGGAAGAGACAACGACGTTTGCCATGCTCTACAGGTTGAGGAATATACTGTTTGAAAGAAGTACGTCCATGTTCACTGAAGAGTATTTCAAATGTGTTCTTCTTCTTCTGGGGTCAACACTTGAGGTCGTTTATGAGTAATCCTGTTAAGAATTTAAATTTAAAAGCCAAATTATTTCATGACTGATGGCTTAGATTCACATGGTTATAAATGCAGCCTGGTTATTTGTTGTTTTTAATTTGACTTCTGACACATTTCTCTGTTTTTAATCTTTAGATAGAAGAGTGATGGACGTCATTTCTCGTTCACAGCTTTACTTAGACGACCTGTTTACTGACTACTACGATAAACGTTTCAGCATGACCGATATTTCACTCAAAGAAGGGACTCACATCCGGGTTAACTTACTGAATCACAACATTCCCAAAGGACCGTGCATCCTCTGTGGGATGGGGAACTTGAAAAGGGAGACGGTGTATGGATGCTTTCAGTGCTCTGTCGATGGGCAGAAGTACGTGAGGCTTCACGCAGTTCCTTGCTTTGATATTTGGCACAAGAGAATGAAATAAAATGAGAAATGAATGCACTTTGCTGGTGTTTAAGGTGCAACGGTGCCACATACCTTTTTTCCAAAATGAATTGTGGCAAATTAAAGAGGGAAAGAAATTAACCTGGGCATCGTTTTCTTCATGTATGACATGCAGGTGATAACAGTCTCCTCATAACTTGTATGAAGGTGAATATTTTTATGTGGAAAAAAAGGGCTTAATTATAAAATTAAGGATGTAGATGCTCCTCCATAAAACCTGCCACTTACATTAGAAGTATTTTGGGGATTTAGTCTATCATTTTAGGTAACTTTTTACATAGAGAGTTTTTGAAATACCAACTTTATTTTTAATTGGGTTTTTGCTAACATTTAAAGATGAAAAGGCTGCACAAGAGGCGACTTTATGGTGCTTTAACTCTTGCCCTGTTTCTGGTAAAATGAGAAAAAATGTGTTAATAATTTATTGTAACCGAAGTGTTTGATTGCAGTATCAAGTTAAAAGCACACTGAGCTGTGTGGGGCATTCTGTACACAGTTAACAGGGTGACTGATAATAATAATAATGGGCTGCTATGTACAGATGCTCACTCGTTTTGGCTTTATAAAACTCACTGCTGTCATTTTAAAGTTAAGACAGCTAGGAAATCTTTATTTCTTTTCTCCCCTGAAAATATTTTAAACATTTAACATATTTAGTTCCGAGATCTTTTTCATCTACTCTGTAACATGTCAGAAATTTGTCATAAACAGCTTAAAATTATTTACTATATACCCTCATGAAAATAATATGTTCAAATTCTAGAACTCACAGTGTATAATTACACCACTCATTTCTAGGTATATGCCTATGAAGGCGTAATGCAGTCATGTAAATATGAACTACTTGTGCACTATAAGCATGTAAAATGATTAAAATTTTATTTTTTAACTGAGCGTGATTAGTTTCAGAATCAATCTCTGTATTAACATCAACTATAATCTTTTAAAAGTTAAGTTTAAAAGCACTTTGTATGAAAACAATGGGACAGAAGGTTAGAATAAACTTTGTATTATCTGATAATTTCCATTTATATCTTCTGTCACTGTATTTTATTTTAGACAGAGTATATGATTCTAGGGCAAATATGAGGATACAGACCAAACAAGGGCCTAGTGACTTTTTTATACAAAAAAAGTGGGGGCAGTTTCCAAACCAAAGCATAATATTATCAACTTAGTTTACTTCTACTGAGCAGATTTTTCTGAAGAAAGCAAAGAGATGAAGTTATAAAACCGGGCAGAGGAATGATGCAATCTTGGCAGGAAAGAAAAAAATAGTAAATGTCTTTGTTTTATGAAGTGTCAAACTTTGTGCTATGCCTATGTAACATTCACTAACCGGATGGGTTTTGTGTTATCCCTACCCTTTTAAGTAACAGATTTTCTGGCAGTATATCAAAAGAGGTTAAAAGATACAGTGGTTTGGAAAGAGCAAATTTCAGAAAATGCAAAAGCTTTGTTTTGAACTCACCTGTTTTGAACAGAGCTATTTACTGCCTGACCATTCCTTCCTACACATGCAGTAGCTGAACCTTACGTGTTCCAATAAACATGTGTCCTTTCTTTGCTACCAACAGCATCTACAGCATCTCTCACCTCTTTTTCTCCACAAGTTGTACCATTGTCATGATTTGACCATGACACAAAATTGCCATGGGACATTTATTTTGTTTCTCTTTTGGAAATGTTTAAAACATTTAACATATAGTTCTGAGAGATATTTATGAATCCTCATTTCTATCCTCATTTGATATTCTCATGTATCCTCATGTGTAAAATAAATTATATATACATTTATCAAAAATTTGATGCCATGTCAGTTTGTAATGTTCATTCATAATTAATAACAAAATCATCGTGAAATGAAATGACATATGATAGAAATACTAGAGAAAAGAAACTACAGACTAAGAAATACCATGACATCAATGTAAAATCAAGACAGAAAGTTAGGGATGGTAGATATAAAAGCCTATGAGAAGGAAGAGGAAGGGCACATTTATCATGATGTCTAAAGGAGTACAAGACTCAGAGCAGTCTAGACTGTATTATGTCTGCTCTAAGAGGCACAATTTGATCAAACATCTTTAACAATCTCCCATTGGAACAAATATATAAAGTCAGAAGCTTGCATCAAAAAGTACAGAGACTGTGTTGAAGCTCTCTGTGAGACAGGGTTATACAACTCATATTTTCCTGCATGCACACCAAAAATAGACTGTTCAGTTCTATGCTTTTTACATACTACTACCTACTCGTATGCTATGAGAGGTATAAACAGTGAAATGTTAATTTCTTGGTCCCTATTGAAAGTTTTAAAAATATGGGCATTTTAACATTTAAAACATTAAAAAATGGTTACTTACAACATGTGCACATGTTGTTAGATTAGAGTTGGGAAGAGTTTTGTAGATTTCGCTATAGATGTTCTCCAAAGTGGGAGAACTGCCCACTGGGACACAGTCAGGTCAGTTTCATGGTTCTGCAACTCATGTTCACAGAATTAAATTTGAACATAGCCTCACATTTATTCCAAACTTACATGTATTGAGGAGATCAAAATATGTCCTCATCGGGTGAAGTAGAAAATACAACTTGGAGAAAGTGACCTTGTTTTATATATAAAGTACAGTAAGTAGCTAAGAAAATTGAGAAATAAAAATTTGCTATAGTTCATCATGTTGATATACATTGTATTCCTTGGGAGAAATGAAGCCATCACCATCATGGTCATTCTTCTTAAAAATATCTTCTAGAACTGCATTCTGATATGACTTGTCATGTGGCTTATCATCTTTTTCAAAGTCCTTTTTCAGGTACTGATCTATCTGGAGGGCCAAAATAACATTTTATTAATAAGAAGAAATCACAATACATTTCTAGTAACTTTGAAGAAATATTTCATAAAGAAACTCACAAGGAAGAATGCTTATAAGTGAAATAAAAAATTTAAAAAAGCTGTTTGAGGTTTTATTTTTTTAATCTTGGAAGCAATTCTCTGAAGAGAAACCAATCTTCCCTTGGAGTTGTAGATGGTTAGTGGTATATGTTCAAAGATTGATATATAAATTGAATTTTGTTGAAACTAAATGCTTTCTAATAATTTATACTGGCCACATTACCAAAGGAAATTCACTAAACATTTCTATTAATGAATTTTATTATTCCATTAACTTATCGATGAAATAATAAATTATTTCATCTATTTACTTTCCATTAATGAATAAAATACAAATTGGTGTTTCTATGATCTCTAAAATTAATAAATATGCTGCATAATCAATAAAACCAACCACAGGTTTTAAAATATAATTTTTTAAATTTTTCTATGCTCTATATCTCCTCCAAATCTGCAAACTACAACAATCTCTCAAATAATAACATCAAATAAAGAACAGGTATTCTAAAATATTTCCTTTTCTCTATATAATATGACATTTCTCCAAGCAAAGACATTATTATAAACACTGCCTAACACAGCAGCTACTAGCCACAGCCAACTACTAAGCACTTGAAGTGTGATTAAATAAAAATGAGATATGCTACTTGAGGATAAAATACACAACAAATTTTGAAGGTAATAAAAATATTTTGGTAATTTTTATGTTGACTTAATATAAAATGGTAATATTTTAGATATCCTGAGTTAAACAAAACATATCATTAAAATTAATTTCACCGGTTTCTTTTTTTAAAATGATGTGGTGGAACTCAATTATATTTCCATTAGAAAGAGCTGATATGTAATAACTGAAGAAATCAATGCACAATGATCTAGAAATAATGTTCAGCTGAGCATTGTAGAGGCAAGAGTATATGTAAAGGCTAAAGTTGAACCCTGAGAGGTTTTTAGCAATCCATATCCCAAACTCAATCCTTAGACTCTAGTTAGAATGACTAATGGATCTATCAACTGTTCTCAAATAGGACTTTGGTCCTATATGATGAAGATACATTTTCTTCCCAGTGAGCCTTAGAAATCCTCTGTAGATATAAAGAATTTTAGATAGCATAAAATATTCCTCAGTTTCTAAATAAATGAAATATATTTTCCTCATCAATGTTGGTGACTATATAAATGTACTTTTCTAATACACTGCAGTGAAGAGGTACAAAAAGGCAGTGCATAATTTTGCTGGCAATGGGATCCATACTATTTCCACTTTGTAATTTATTAAAAACACTGTATTCCTCCACTCCCCCACCTGACTTTTCTGAATAAATAACTGACTAAATCTTTCTGAAGATGAAGGAAAGTAGTTTATTTTAGTTTATGTTTGAAATCTAGGTTCTGCCATGTACTGCTTGTGTAGTCTTAGATAAATAATTTAACCTCTCTGAATCTCAATTTTGTCATCTGTTAAAGAAAGGAGTCAATAAAGATATATTTGAAAAAAGGGGAAGAAAATATAATCTATACTGTAGGATTGATGTGAAGATTAGAGTCATGTTTACAAGTGTCAAGGATAGATAACGATTGTTATGAAAATCAAACATGTTAAAATCACTCTTACCTATCTAGTGATAATGCAGTTAATCCCTGATACCCAAGAATGTAGGCAAATCTGGGCAAAATGTAGGTAAGCATGTCTCTATTTTGGACATTCTCTATTTTTTTTTCCAGAAAAAAACTAAAGATCCCCTAAGGTCTACTGAATATTCATACTGAAGAACTTGTCTGTTGGTGTACAAGTAATATATGTGAATTCATCTGCAGTTGCTGTTCATTCTAAAAAGGGTGATGAGCCCTAACTGGTTTGGCTCAGTGGATAGAGCATAGGCCTGCAGACTGAAAGGTACCAGGTTCGATTCCCGTCAAGGGCATGTACCTTGGTTGCAGGAACATCCCCAGTAGGGCGTGTGCAGGAGGCAGCTGATTGCTGTTTCTCTCTCATCGATGTTTCTAACTCTCTATCCCTTTCCCTTCCTCTCTGTGAAAAATCAATAAAATATATATTTTAAAAATAAATAAAAAGGGTGATGAGTTGACAGAAAGTATTGTACTGGGAACAGTTTGCCACACCTCTAATGGCTACACTTAAGGAAAGGGGCATGTTCTCCTTCTCTTATCCCTCTTCTGTTATTGGTCAACCAAAGAGCTTCAGGAAAAAGTTTTTACTAAGATCTTGGAGGAGGTAGTAGAATTAGGGTGGGCAAACCATTGAAGAAGGAAGAAAAAAAGAAACAGAAAAAGGTCACACACACACACACACACACACACACACACACACACACACGTTTTTTACAGAGAAGAAGGGAGAGGGATAAAAAGTTAGAAACATCGATGAGAGAGAAACATCTATCAGCAGCCTCCTGCACACACCCTACTGGGTATGTGCCAGCAATCAAGGTATACGCCCTTGACCGGAGTCGAACCTGGGACCCTCCAGTCCGCAGGCTGACACTCTATCCACTGAGCAAAACCAGATAGGGAGGTTTTTACTTTTTTTTATCCCTTGAATCAATGACACGGTTGCCCTTTTTAAAAAGTGATTGCTGCTTCTTTAGTTTTTAAAATATATTTATATTGATTTCAGAGAGGAAGGAAGAGGGAGAGAGATAGAAACATAAAAGATGAGAGAGAATCAGCAGTAGGCTGCCTCCTGCATGCCTCCTACTAGGGATTGAGCTGGCAACCCAGACATATTCCCTGACAGGAAATCAAACTCATGACCTATTCTCAACTGCTGAGCCACACCCGGATGGATCCCAGTTGTCTTTTATTATTTAAGTGATAAGAGTTATGCATGTTAAACTGCCTCCAAATGGGAAGGGAGACAAGGCACCAGACTTCAATGAAATGAACATTAGCTGTGAAACACTCATGATGCAGAACATGATAGTGGAGTCAGATTGCTGGGTTTGCAGTCAGGTTTTGCCACTTAGAGCTGTGTGGCCTTAAGCTAGTTACTTAACCTGTCTGGGTGCCACTTGCACCTTCTATAAAATGGAGATGATGGCAATAGTATCTACCTCATGTATTGTCCAGGTCACACACTACTGGGTTTATAGCTATACCTAGTACTGAGAAGGTATGAAAAATTATTGTTATGAGATCTTTATCAATTCCTCAATTCATCATATAAGACTAACTGGGATGCAGAAGCTAGGTAGCTGAACTCCTGGGTCCTGTTTACTAACTTTCCAAAATACACAATTTAAATTTTGGCTAGCTTTTTAAAAAAAAAAACATATTTTATTGATTTTTTACAGAGAGGAAGAGAAAGGGATAGAAAGTCAGAAACATCATCGATGAGAGAGAATCATCCATCAGCTGCCTTCTGGGGATGTGCCCGCAACCAAGGTACATGCCCTTGAACGGAATCGAACCTGGAACCTTTTAGTCCGCAGGCCGATGCTCTACCCACTGAGCCAAACTGGTTTTGGCTTTGGCTAGCTTTTTCCATAACCTCATGTAATCCTCATAGTGAGGTGGGAATTATTTGCCCTGTTAGACATTCCTATAGTGCTGCTTAAAAGAGATCTGCTCCTATAGTCCAGTTGCTGGAAATGCCTCCTAGAGATTAGTATGGTATTGCAATGGTCCTCTTATAGGGAGAGAAGAAACTGAACAGAATGACCAAGTTTTGTTTTGAAAAAGCTCATTTTCTTCTTGGAGCTCCGATTTTTTGTAACCAGCTCTTATATTAAAAGCTAGACCTTACTAGGTAAAAGTAAAAAAATACGAGTTGTAACAAAAATGCACTTAGAGTATAGGCTGTACACATGAAATCTGTTTGAATTACCTCAGCCTTGGAGAGTTGCCTGTCATTGTCTGTGTCTATCTGCTTAAAGGTTTCAATACTTCGTGGTCCTTTGGTCACAGCATAAAGTTCAATCTCAAAAATCAATGTTGCATCAGGTGGAATCTTGCCTTCTGCTAAAAGTATAAATTTTTAACAGTTTAACTTACATGAAGATAATGTTCAAATATTTATTCATAAGTAGCCATTACAGCATTATGATTATACTATTTTATATCTATAAAAATTGTGCTCGAAATACTTTTTAGAAATTTTTTACAAATGTTTTTAAACCAAGTCAGTTCTAAGAACTTAGGGGACCATTATTCCATAATTAAATGAAAATGAATATAAATGATATAATTTTTATTAATATACCCATCATTTTAAAGGAGAGAGCTAGTGCAGAGAAGAAATACCTGGGCAGAAAAATCTCAAAGCATAGATCAGTAATCTTTTAGAAAATGATTTTGTATAGTTATTTGGGAGCATAAACAAAACATATATATCAATCTATTTGTCTTTCAAATTCTTTATAGATATTAAAAATAAAGTATAATGACAGAGTAAACCAGTAACAATTTTATGAAGAAATTTCTAAACACACACACAAAAAAATTAAGTATTAAGTTGAACAGATCTCCTTAATAAAGTTAATCTATTAACTGATATCACAGATGATTTTAGTATGTAGGCTTTGGCTATTTCAGATGTTCATTTTATAAAAATAACCTTTAAAAATGACTTGAGAGGGCATGTTTGGGAATGGGGGGTGGGGTGGGGATTGGTAAGGTATGTATACATATAATATCTTAATTTAAAAAAAAAACAAAAGAAAAAAAACTTGTTCTGCTTTTAAAAAAATGACTTGGTAAGAGGCAGTGAGTGGTTTGTGTCACTGGTATATTCCTAGAGACTCTCAGAATGCCTGATTCTTATCACTCAAACTAGTTGTTGAATGAATGCCAACTACCCTTTATTTTTAAAATGGCTAATTTTGTTCTTTTAAGAAAACAGTAATTTCTTTAATAATAATAATAATAATAAAACACCCAGAGGATTCTTGCTAAAGTGCTTATACATATATTCCAAAGAATTTGAAAGTTACAGCTACAAGGAGAGATCATCATCAGTCATCTCAAAGCCAGGACATAGAACAATCTTCCTGTGCATCACGTGACTAATGTAACCATCCCAACCAAAGCAGCACCTGTTACTACCCCATTTTAGAGTAAAAAAGCTAGAGATTGACTCAATGATCACTTTTTAAAACTCGTTCCTCTTCCATCGAGTTACGATCTTCTTATAACAAAACAATAATTAAAAACAAATTCCAAAAGCAAATTCAAATTTCTTAAGAAAAAATATTACAGGTTCAAGTTTCTGAACAATTCTACTATAAACATAGAAAATATTGCCAATTCTTCTTTTCTCTTGCAAAAAACTATAGCGTAAAGAAGAAAAATGTGCATTTGCTACAGAGTTACTTGTGTTTAGAGAAGTAGATCAAAGACATAGGAGTTAATGTGAAGAATCTATACATACCACATGTACCGTTAATTAAAGCACAGACAAGTCACATGCATTTCAAGACATGCAGGGGTGTGCTGCGACATGAGGCAAGGAGAAGAGAGACTTCTTCAAGTACTCCCTAAAACAAAGTTATAACTTACGTTAGTTCCTAATCACTTATTTTTAAAAGCTTATTTCATCAAGAAGTTTTGTTAAGCAGTTACTTAGGGTCTACACTGCAACTTTTAAAATAATCTAATCCGAGCTATTGTCGTGCAGGTAAACTTTGCAGTGGATTACATTCTAAACAACACACACGTTTGTTTGGGCCTCGGTTCCTCTCTGTGTAAAATGAAAGTGTTGGTGGTATTACTAGTGAAATTCATTATTTTTATATATTTTTGGAGACACTTCAAGTTGAATATGAACCAACTTCAAGTCAAATTTCCACATCTCCACAGCAAGGGTTTTTGGTTTAATAGTAGGTTAGGCAGCTGGCTTAGTCATTCACGCATAAATTAGTTTACAAAAAAGATAAATTAAGCAGTCATTCGCCTTAAGGTAACAGGACACTAGATAACATCTATTGATGAGGGATGTGGGTGCAGGCTGATAGGGAAGCAGGTGCTCTGGCAGAAGGCAGAATGTGGAGGCATCTGATGGGAAAACACAAGAAAGGGAAACTGGAAATGAGATTAAAGAGACTGACAGGCAAACCGCCTGTTATCGTGTTGCCTAGAATTGGCTTCAACCTTTGGCAACATTTTTAGGACAAGTATTGCATTCACTTTTATTTATCTTCAATTTTTTACTTCTCTTCTTGTTTCCTCTACAATTAAAAATAGAATATACAGCCCTGGCTAGTTTGGCTCAGTGGATAGAGCGTCAGCCTGCAGACCAGAGTCCCAGGTTCAATTCTGGTCAAAGGCACATGCCTGATTGCAGGCTCGGTCCAACATGTAGGAGGCAGCCAATCAATGGATCCTTCCCATCATTTATGTTTCTGTCTCTCTCTTCCTCTCTGAGACCAATAAAAATATATTAAAAAAATAAAGATAGAATATAGAAATTATGGTTCAGTGGCAGCTATTTTGTTGGGACCAAATGATTGGTAAATAGCATGAAAATGAAGCTGTAGTTATCTGAAACTGTCTCTTGAGAAATTTTAAGTCTGAATGGGTCTGACCCCCACCACTAACCTCCCTCCAATCCAGTTTGGAGCAGTGATCCTTGCTCTTGCTGGGAAGAAGAGGCGAGGGAATCACTACTCTTAATGAGTAAACCAACAGCCTCAAAGAGGGCATGATATTTCAATGAAATATTTGGAAGTTAATGACAATATTTTATTGGAGAAAATTAATCTTTAATTACTTTAATTATATACTTAATATTTCAAAGAGGTGGAGTTACCAAGGACTCTAAACAGAATGAAGAGGATTTAAAGATTCTTTAACATCCTTACACAGCAGTAGGAAGCAAGGACTTAATTGAGAATAAAATATCAAAACTGTCCCTCTGACAGACTGCCCATTTCTAAAATTTATCTATTCGCTCCACTTTTAATTTTAGTGTTTTTTATTTTATTTTTTAAAAATAAATATATGCACACGGTGAAAAATTTAAACAGTACAATATATTACAGAATGAGAAAAAATCTCCTCTCCCTTGACCCTCAGGCCTCCTTCCCAGGACCACTTAATGTCATCAGATTATCTGTGTATCTTTCCAGAGAGCGTCTACCTAGATACATGATGCATATGAGAGATTCTGCCTTGTACATATAAGCTCATTGAGGATAGAAAATCGTTTCTGCATTGTATACAGCTTCTTTTTACTGGCTGAATCCATTTCATAAGTATACCATGATTTATTTAACTGATTTTCTACTGATGGATACTAAGGTAGTTTCCAGTCTTTTGCTACCAAAAAGACTGCAATGAATGTTCTTTTACATATACTTTTATGCACATTCATGGTAATGGAACTACTGGGTCAGAGAAAATATGCATTTTAAATTTAGATAGAAATTGCTATAGAGTTACAATGATTTACATTCCCAGTAATAATGAATGAGCCTACTGTTTTTTCCATACCTTTGTCAACTTTTATGTCTTTGCAGATTAGGAATGGGACTCACTTTTGTTTTAATTTCACCTTCTTTAATTATGAATAAAATTCAGTATTCTCGCAAATTTAAAGGTTATTTGTATTTTTTGTTGTTACTAGCGGGCCACTTGTTTATAAACTTGTGTATTCCTAAGGGTAGGTCATTTTTATTATTTGTTATTAGGAGTCTTCATATATATTGCAAACATTTTTCCTATTTTATTGCCTTACCTAGATTTTTAGATCTCACTCTCGGATTTAAAAATATGTAAGATATTAGCAGTTCAGTTCTTTCACATTTCAAGTTTTCTCTTAAATTTGGGTAATAGTGACTGACAGTTATTTCAGATGTTCTTTTTTACCATGTTCCAGTGCTATCCTTTTACTCCAAAATCATATGTTTCAGTTTCCAGGTTTTATGATTTGGCTTTGGTACTGCTTACCCAAAGGTACATGCCATTTACATTTATATTAAATACAAATAACATTATGCTAAAAACAAATATGACAAAGGTAGAGCTTATAGAATATACATGATCATTAGGAGAACTAATACTATGTGGAAAGAACAACTCTGGCCAGAGATCTGTATTTGAACAATGTTGTATTTTCTTTATATGTAAAAACAGCAGGCTGGGTGGATTGGATTAGATACAGCTAAAGTTTGTTGTACCCTATAGTTCTGTAATTATTTCCTCTATAATTTTAAATTTTTATTTGAACTTTTTGAGAGATTGAAAAATTTTAATTTAATTTTATGTAACATGAAATTTACCAGCATAACCATTTTAAGTATACACTTCAGTAGTGTTAACTGTATTCACATTGTTGCACAACCATCTCCAGAACTATTTCATCTTGCGAAACTGAAACTCTATACCCATTAAACAACAATTCCCTATTCCACCCTCTCCCCAGGCTCTGACTTCCACCCTCTCCTTTGATCTCAATGAATGTGACTACTCTAGGTATGTAATTAAAGTGGAATCATATAGCATTAGTTTTTTGATGATTAGCGTATTTCACTTAGCATAATGTACTCAAGGTTCATCCATGTTACAGCATGTGCCAGAATTTCCTTCCCCTTTTACAGATGTATAATATTCCATTGTGTGTAAATACCACATTTTGTTTCTCCATTTATCTGTTAAAGAACACATGTTATTTCTTTGTGTGTGTGTATGTGTGTGTGTGTGTGTGTGTGATTAGTGCTGCTATGAACATGGTGTACAAATATCTCTCTTAGACCGAGAAATAAATATTAAAGCATCTTACCATAGCCTTCCTTTCCATATGCAAACGAAGGGGGTATTATCACTTTTCGCTTCTCTCCAGGGCACATATCCATCATAGCAATGTCTAGGCCTTTTATGACTTGCCCAACACCAAGAACAAACCATTTGGGGTGGCCTTCATGTTGTGTCCGGCTATAATAAAAAGCAACATTTAGGTAAGCTGATTTCAAGAAAAATAAAATCAAACTAAAATGAAATCAAACCCAGCATCCTGGCTGGGTGGTTCAGTGGGCTATAACATTGTTCCTCTGTACATCAAAAAGGTTGCGAGTTCAATACTGATTGGGGCGATAAAGGAGGCAACCGATCCATGATTCTCTCCCACATTGATGTTTCTCTCTCTCTCTTCCTCGTGATCTAAAAATTAATAAATATATAATCTTGGATGAAGATTAAAAAAATACAGCTGGGCATTTAGTTATATTAAAATTGGATCCTCTTTAACCATCTCTTTCCCCGTACTATTACTCACTCTGAATCCCCTGGTGGAGTGTTTGGCTCAAACTTACCTCATAATAGCCCGAATGAGGTATGATTTGTCATCTCATTTTCTTTTTGTTGTTTTTATAAAAACTACTCAACAGTTAACTTTTTAAAAATATATATTTTATTGAGTTTTTAGAGAGAGAATGAGAGAGGGATAGAAAGCTAGAAACATTGATGAGAGAGAATCATCGATCAGCTGCCTCTTGCACATCCCCTACTGGGGATGTGCCTGCAACCAAGGTACATGCCCTTGACCAGAATCGAACCTGGGACCTTTCGGTTCGGAGACTGTCGCTCTATCCACTGAGCCAAACCGGTTTCGGCAACACTTTTCGTTTTTAATGGGTCTTCTGCCCCTACCTAGCTGCATGACTTGTCTAAATAATACATTTAACATGTTCGGATTTGTCCTAAAAAATGATGTTGTTATTTTAGCCACATAAATATTTTAAAGTTATTTAAAATTTGTACCCTTTCTTCTTAAGTTTCTCTAGTTTTCTCTAAATAGGAAGAACTAAGTTTTCCCAGTTCCTATTTTAATAATAGTACAGATGAAGAAAAAACATTCTCCCTTTGAGTAGTAAGCCTTTAATTAAATCAGAGTAAGCAGTCATGGGATGAGGAGTCAGGCGGAGGACACAGAGCCCAGAAGTCATCAGGGAAAGTTGCTGTGTGTTTTCTTGACTGTTGGAAAGTGGCCCCATCGCCTGTAAATATGGTGCTTCTGAAGGCCAGACAGAATCCCTTAAACTACCCTATCTGACCCTCTGTCAAGATACTCCCGCTGGCAAAGGAAAAGTATGAACATCCTTACAAACAGTGCCTTGACTTACTTCTCTAAGTCCCAAGGGTAGTGGGAATGGTCGGCTGTGTGGGGGGACATCATGTATTTATTTTTAATTGCTTCAGAGAGAGGAAAGGAAAGGGAGAGAGATAGAAACATCAATGATGAGAGAGAATCATTATCAGCTGCCTCCTACATGCCCCCTACTGAAGATGGAGCCTGCAACCGCATCCTGGGCTTTTGTCCTGCCAGAACTGAATCTTGACCTCCTACTTCATGGGTGGCGGCTCAACTACTGAGTCACACCAGCAGGCCATAGTGTCTTTTTTTGATAATTTCTTGGTCCAACATTTTTAATAACTTAGAAAAGTAATATTCAGCTTAATAGAGAACGACTGCATTTAGTCTGATTTCCCCCTTGGGAATGAAAATCTTAACTCTTACTGTTAAAAAAACAAGAACCAACCAACCCACCCACCAACCAATTAAGCTTCTGCATCCTGGAGGGAGGCTGGATTCCACACCTCCACTGGGCGTGTCAGCTGCTCGCTGCATGTCCTACCTGCAGTAGAATTTCGTGCCATCTTGGGCCAGGTAGCCGTCATAATGGGCATTTAGTAGGTCTCCCTTCTTGCTGGTCTTAGAACAGTTTTCTGGACGATGCACAACTTCTATTTTTACCTCCTCCGTGCGCCCCTCTTCCTTTTGTCCCTGGGCGGTGAAAATGCCCCACGCGCAGAAGAAAACGGTTAATCTGAGCAAGAGATGCATGGTTCCTGGCGCTGGCCCCCTCCCGCGTGTCACTCGCGTCCTGTGGCCCACGGGCAGCTGAGTTCCGACGCGTGGCAGCATTGTCCTACGTCACAAAGGGGGGCGGGGCGGCGCGGGGCCCCGCCCCTTCACCCGCACCCCGCACCCCCTGCTGGAACTGTGCCCGTGGGAGGCGGGCTGCGGCCTCCGGTACCCAGCGCCTGGCTGGCTGTCATCAGTCTCCAAGGCAACGCTGATCGCTTGCACCGCTTCTCGCCGGCTCCGCTGGTTTTGCGGCCGGTTTCCTCGGGGTTCGGGGTTCCTGTGGCAAAGCTAGCGTTTCCTAAAATGAAACCCGTAAAGGATGAAAGAAACAGCCGCGGGTGGGGTGTAGTCAGAGGGTATGGTTGTCATTTCTGGGCATAAAAGGCTTTTCTGCAGACCCCTAGAGAGCTACGGGCATGTGTGTGTGTGTGTGGGGGGGGGACGGGGGTATATTCCGGGGTGTCCTGGAAGGCTCAGGCAAAGCCGCACTCACCCCGAAGGCCTCCGGGTCTGGAGCAAACAGAAGCGCCCCGCTCCCCGCCCAGGGCGGACCCCAGCATCCTTCACTGCGGCGAGTTTGCGTTACTTCCTCCCATCCCTGGGGCCGCCCCTGATTTCAGGGCTTAGAGAGGCGCACAGTGTCTCTTTTCCTACCAACTCTGCCAGATGGGGAACTATTCACATCCCACGAGGAGAAAATGAGGTACAGAGGTCCCCTCTTATCCTCAGACCCCGTTGTCCTGCAGGGGGATGTGTGCCAAGCCCCAGTGCATGTCTGAAAGCAGGCTAGAATTGAACCCTACATATATATACATATACATATACATATACATATACATATACATATACATATACATATACATATACATATACATATACATATACATATACATATACATATACATATATATTTCATATAATCCAAACTTATGATAAAGCTTAATTAATAAATTAAGCATTATAAGAGATTAATAATTTATAATAAAACAACAACAGACTATAATAAAAGTTATGTGAATGTGATCTCTCTCTGGAAATATCTTGTTGTCCTGAACCACAGCCTGGATGTGCTGGACAGAGAGGGCTCATGGTTTGGCAGGAGGGAGGTGGTCAGCAGATTTCATCAGGCTGCTCGGAACAGGCCCACAGCTGAAAACGTATGAGTTGTTCATTTCTGGGATTTTCCATCTAATATTTTTAGACCGTGGTTGGCCTCTGGTAGCTGAAACCACAGGAAGTGGAAATCCAACTCCTGAAAGGGGAGGACTTCCTGTTCCTTCAGTGCTGGGCGCTTTGTTCCCACCTTACAGCCCATGTGCAGGAGGGATTCGGTGAAGCGGGACCCAAAGCCAGCCTCACCCCTCAGCATTTCAGAATGAGGAATGTTCACACACACAGAAAAAGCTGAATTTTACTATCACCATGGCCATCCCACTATCCATCTCTCATCAACCCCCCTTATTTTCAAATGAATATCCAAAGGCCTTTTACCAGAAAGGCTAAGGCCTAGATCAGGTCCTGGGCGGGGCGATGTTTTTGAATCCACGTCGGTGATGCTGAGAAAAGCCACAACCCTGAGCACCTTACATCCGCTTTGCGGAAACCCTGCAAAATCCCATCCACCTGGAAATTATTGTCCATTCTGTAAGATGATGGATCATTTCCAAACAGGATTCTTAAAAATCCTAAAAGCTAGGGGAAAGCCCCCATTTTTAGTAAAACAAACTCCAAACTGATTCCCCGTTTTCTCTTCTACATGAAGATGTGGCTGTCTAAGGTTAATTGTTTGCTGATGACTTTCCTTGATGAATTGTTTGCTGATGACTATTCTCTGGAACCCATGACCACTCCTGGCCGCGGATTCTCAGCGGCCCCAGCGGCCCCCGCCTCCCGGGACATAGCTGGTTGGACCCTCTGAAGGCGAGGACACGATGAAACATAAATAGGAAATCTTTTATTTTCTTGGGACCCCCCTCCCCAAAAACAACAACAACAACAACAACAACAACAACAACAACAACAACAACAACCACCACCACCACCACCACCGCCAGGACAGGAGGCTCAGTTATTAAAGCCTGAGGGCGGCCCGGGGAGCCAGCCGAGGGCCGAGGGGGGACGGAGCGGAGCCGGCGGCGGCGGCCGGAGCCCGGGGCGCGGCGGGCCGAGAGGGCGCGCCGCCGGGGAGGGGTTTCCCGGGCCGCCCGGCCCCTTTCAACCAGGAAGTGAAAGCGACGCCGGGGTCAATGCCAGCAGCGGGGAGCCTGGGGGCCGGGGAGGCGGGCGGCGAGGAGGCCGTGCCCGGCGCGGAGGGCGCAGCACGCGAGCGGGAGGCCGGCCCGCGGTTCCGATCGCCGCCGCCGCCGCACGAGGCAGGCCGCCCGGGGATGTCCGAGCCCGCGGCCCGCGGGGCCCGAGCTGCGCGCGGCGGCCGTCGCCCCGGCCTCTGAGGCCGCCACCGGCGCGGGCGGGCGGGCGGGCGGAGGGGCCGGGGCCGGAGCGGCGGTCCGGCTGCGCGCCTTCCCCATCGCCGCGGCCGGCGGGCCAGGAGGATGCGCGGCGCCGGGCCCTGAAGCATGGAGGGCGTCCTGTACAAGTGGACCAACTATCTCACAGGTCTGCGCCCGGGCGCCCGGGGCGGCGGGCGGGAGCGGGCCGGGCCGGGCCGGCGGCGGGGCGGGCAGGCCGGGGGCTCCGGCGCCGGGAGCCCGCCGCCCGCCCGCGGTGACCCTCCGCGCACGGACCCTTCAGATTCTTGGGCTTCACCCCTGTCTGTGTCCCCGTGAGCGCCCGCCGGCCTCTGCCTGGAGAAGGCTCCAGAAGGCGCGCCTTCCGGACGGAGGGAGGTGCACCTGATGGACCCCCACCTCCTGGCCGGTGCAGGGATCCTGTCTCCTCCTGTAGCTCCCAGAGCAATGGCCCTGGCTCCCCAGGTGCTGCTGCAATCCCTGTCCTCCTCCACACGCAGCTCGGCATATTGTTACTAGAGTGGTCAGGGTATAAGTCCCTTAAGATCAAGATTTAATTTTAAGAAATGTTTTCTATGCATCACCCCTCCCTCTCCCTCCATTTCCAAAGCAGCATGGTTTATTTGAATAGCTCTCTTGTTGAAATTTGGACATAGAAGCATTATTTGGGAAGCTGTCCCTGGATAATGTTCTCTTAGAGGTGGGTTATCAATGAGAACCTTGTTTTGGATGTCAGGTAAGTGTGAGAAATCGTGGAAGATACAGAAGTGCAACGTACAGAAGTGGAGGAGGAAAGTCAGTTTCACTCATGAAGTGGGTTGCAAGGAAGAACTCCAAAGAATGAGGTGTTTTTTGTTTTTTGTTTGTTTGTTTGTTTTTTTAGAAGGGTGTCCACAGGGAGGGCCCTTTGCCATGACATCAACAACCTGGCGTATTAAGAGTCTGAATTCTAGTCCCATCTCTGCCATCATCCAAGAGTAAGAATAATTACTTATTCTCTCAAGAGCTCAATCCAAGGCCAGGCCGATCAAATAGTTTATCCTGAAGATGCCTTCCAGTCCAGAATTCTATGATCTCACCAAATCAGAGGAAGGGGAATGGGTTTAAAATAAGATTAAGTGGCAAACATTTTTTGGTCCATTGTGACAGGCAAATCTTGACTTGTTGCCCCTTTATTCACTCTGCCAAAAGTATTAAGCCGTTAGTTATTGTGTGGTACACTTGTGCCCACCTGACTTTGCTCACAATCTGCACATAAACATTTTGAGACATAAGCACTGAGCTACAGTTGTCCACCTTTTTTTAAATTTTATTGATTACAATGCTACTGCCAGATTTATAGCAGCAAATGCTTTATCATTTATGATGGATGTTTTGTTCACACTAAAATGTCAGTTTGTTTCTATAAACATTTTAATAGGAAACTCTTAAAAAGGAAATATTAAGCATTTTCATTCTGTTTAATTGAGATATTGTATTAACTTTAAGACGGTAGCTTCTGTGGTTAGCTATGCAAATGGTCATCTCATTGCAGATGTTTACAAGCACAGTGTCTTGGGAAGTCTTTTGGAGAAACTGCTTAATGCATAGCACAGAGCGAAGGGCGATTCCTGAGATGAGTCATAATTTATTCTTTTGTCAAAATGTGGTCTTCTATAGCACTGAGCACCAGCTGGTTAAGGTTTTAACCATTTGTGCTTAAGGTTTCAGTCATTGCTGAGCATTTAAATTAACTGCTATATGTACTTGTAGAAGCTCGATAAAATTACAACTCTTGGAAGAATTCCCTTTTTAAAATTTAAATTGGACTCGATGAAATGCTGATTATTAATTTTAGTTCATCATAGGTCAGAAGGATGAATAGCTGTTCATACTAAGGGATCTTTTAAAGAACCTTCCAGTTCAGTGTCAGCATTCTTTGAGAATCCTTTGTAGAGAATAAGGATTTCAGTAACATTTGGTAGTTTGAGACAAAAAGAATGTGTGTGTGGTTTTTAAAAAAAAAATAATTTAATAGAGAGAATACCTATGAGTCCTTTTCACAGATATAGCTCTCTACTTCATAAATGTGTGAATCAATGAGATGTTTTATTAAGTATTTCTTCAAAAAGGTGTGAAGAGAAAGAGGAATCTTCGATTAATTAACCATGCCTACTTTTGAAGTTGTTATTAATTTTAAGTGAATCCTTTTTCTCAGTATTTGTTTTAAAGACATTGAGTCACAATATTGCAAGCTTACAGAATCACACAGGGCTTGGGGTGGAGTGTATTTTCACACTGCTTATAATTTGTTTGCCAAAGTGAATTAGTGTCTGGAAAGATAATGTTTTTATTATTTCTGTGTATGTTTAATACAACATACTCATGAATATACTCCTTACCTATACTCATGGATAACATGCACTATCTCACTTTTCTGGTACTTAATCATTCATTCAATCAGTCACTTGAGCAATAAATATAATTTTTTGTTACCCTGTTTCCCCCAAATTAAGACAGTGTCTTATATTAATTTTTGCTCCCAAAGAAGCGCTAGATCTTATTTTCAGGGGATGTCTTATTTTTCCACATGCTAGGTCTAATTTTCGGAGGATGTCTTATTTTCGGGGAAACACTGTAGTACCTGTCTGTACCAGGCACCATTCTAGGAAGATGCTGGGAATGCAGTGATGAATAAGATAAAGTTCATGTACCAAAAGAACTTCCTTTCTAATTTGCTTGGCCTCATTAGGGAATATAGTGTTTCATAAAAATAATTATCCAAGCATTAAAACTTTTTTGGGGGCTATCCCTCCTCTGAACTGTATTATGACATTCCCTGCTGTGAAATTTAACCTGTTTATGATGACTCAGCATTATCATTTCAAAAGTGTTACAGGTAAAAGTTTTTGGCTGGGTATATCCTGGGTCTGTATAGGATGAAGAACAACTTCCCCCATCTGTCATTATCTTAGTACTATTTGACCCTGGAAAAATGGAATTGAGTAATTATATAGCAGGCTATGTCCAAAATGAGCAGGCTGAAGTGTCATTTAATAGTCACAGAAAGAACAGGGACAGTCACATTGCCTCCTACATGGTCACCAAGCTACTAATCAGTGAACTGTTAAAAATTAGTAGCATGCTTAATAAGATTTCAGGGAACACTGAGTTTGGCTTCTAAGAGTGGGAGCTGAGCTTTGAGGAAGGTCATTATTCTCATCCCCAACTTCTTGTTAGTGATAGTTGTGTGCTCTAGTCTCTGAATAAATACTAATTAAACGAATGATTGTAGTTTCTAGCATTTCTGCCAGAGCTGTGCAGCAGCAGAGCAAGGAGAGAAGGGTGGTTGGGAATCCACGCTCACCACAGGGTATGCAGCTTCTGTGTAAGAGACAGATTCATCCAGCAGCACTTACTATATGCAAGGGAGCTTGCTTAGGAAACATAAGAGAGGGGAAGGTCACATTGTAGAATTAGAGAACTAGGTGGCAACTAAGGGGTCTTCTTGTTCAGTCCACTCTCGAGACTTGGTGTTTTTGATATTTAATGAAATGAAAAGATTTGTAGTCCAGGTTATCCATCTAAAGAATTGTAATAGAGCTTGGTCTAGAATCCAGGTCTTCTGTTTCCCCTGTTCTTCCCCCCATTATATCATAACTAAACTCTGTTCCCTTTGGAAGAAGGGGACATTTATATCGCACCCAGGGAAGGGCTGTATTTGAGGATGGGCCTATGGGTTGGTTTTTTTTTTTAAATATATTTTATTGATATTTTACAGAGAGGAGGAAGGGAGAGAGATAGAGAGCTAGAAACGTCGATGAGAGAGAAACATCGACCAGCTGCCTCTTGCACACCCCCTACCGGGGATGTGCCCGCAACCAACGTACATGCCCTTGACCGGAATCGAACCCGGGACCTTTCAGTCCGCAGACCGACGCTCTACCACTGAGCCAAACCGGCTTCGGCCCTATGGGTTGTTAATGAGAAAGTAGTGAGCCAGAATAAAGGTATCACCCCCCATATTTATGCTGATCGAGACATTTCCTCAGAAATCTCTCCCAACAAAGTAGAGATTGATGCCAGAACATTTTGGGCAGGGCTTGTCGTTTAAAAAATTCATTATCAGAATGGTATTTTAGAGCCAATAAATAACATGGATGGTAAGTTTTGAAACCAGTTTTCTATGTGATGAAAGTAAATTTTTATTAACTTTTCATTATTTATGATTTTGTAGGTTGGCAGCCTCGTTGGTTTGTTTTAGATAATGGAATATTGTCCTACTATGATTCACAAGATGATGTTTGCAAAGGCAGCAAAGGAAGTATAAAGATGGCAGTTTGTGAAATTAAAGGTAAGTGAGTATATGGAATTAGAGGAAGTTAGGTAAAGGTAAGTAAAGGGTTCTGCAGCATACTGGGAAAAAAGCATTTCTAACTAAGTAGGGGTCTTCTAATACCACTATTTCCTTAGCATTCAGGAGTGGCACTTAGCATTGTTAAGCATAGTTTTGATGTTTCTGTCTATGAACATACTTTGAATTGAATTTTAAAGTACTAGTGCACATCTTCCAATATGGACTTGAAAAATAATTTCTTGTGGATGCCACTTATGTGTCCATGCTGAGTCTACAAGTGTTCTCTTCATTCTCATAAAAAGCCATTGTGAAGATTGAAAGCTGAATTCTTTTTTCTTTTTTCTAAAATATATTTTATTGATTTTCTACAGAGAGGAAGGGAGAGAGATAGAGAGCCAAAAATGTCGATGAGAGAGAAACACCGTCCAGCTGCCTCCTGCACACCCCCCACCGGGGATGTGCCTGAAACCAACCTACATGCCCTTGACCGGAATCGAACCCCTTCAGTCCGCAGACCGACGCTCTACCACTGAGCCAAACCGGTTTCGGCTTGAAAGCTGAATTCTAAAGCTCTGTAGGTTTCTGATAAAGTGTTAAGTCAGGGTCATAAAATGGTTCTAGGCCTAATCGAAGATAAGCTCTTCTGAGTATTAGAGATGTTTTTATTTTCTTTCTTTTTTTGGTGATCTTTAGAGTTTTAAGGAATACTGGTCAGGAATATTGTAGGAAGCCCCTCTATTGGAATTTGATGTTTTTCCTATGGTTAGGCTGGGGTTATGGGTTTTAGGAGGAAAGTCACAGAGGTACAGTGCCATTCTCATCATATCAAGAGTGGGTCCTATCAACATGACATGTCACTCTAAATGTTAACTCTGACCACCTGGCAGAGGCAGAGTTTGTCAGATTTCTCAACTGTCAAGTTACCCTTCCCCCTTCCATATTGTGTTCTTCTGAAATTGAGGAAATAAAGCAATAAATGCTGTAATTTTCATGAAGAAACATTTTATGGACCATTGATTCTTTTGTATGTGTGTTTGGGATGTGTAGGATGGAGGTAGGTAGGTAGGAGAGATCAAGCAGAATGATAGTGAAAAGTATTGAATTCTTTAAGAGAATAGAAGGAAAAATGAGCTCTAGAAGAGTGAATGTTAAACTCCTTCAGGGAATCACGGCTATATAAGATATACAATCACCAGTCTGGTGTATTGTTACTTGCTTTTTTATTTTATTTTTATAAATTTCACAAGAAAAGAACATTCAAAGCATAAGTTTTTATCTTTTTAAAATGTGATGGTTTTTTTCTCATCTCATTCCCCAGATTCATTTCCAAATGAGATTTGATGAGAATTAGAAATCAAACTACCTTCAAAGTTTAAAAATTTGCCAACTTTGAGGATTTTAAAAGACTATTAGTGGCAGAATTCTAAGGCAATTCCAAATGTTTTTTAGCCATGGCCTCATTTTTGTTCCATTGTTTTCTCTTTAAAGTAATCACGTTGTTGAAGAATAATATACTCATAGAAAAGGGCACAAATCTTAAATACTCAATTTGCAGAATGTTTACAAAGTGTACATGCTTGTGTAACCACCACCCAGATCAAGAATTAGAATATTATCCTCATCCCAAATGCTGGGAAATTATTATGTCCCCTCAGCTCTTAATTCCTCTAAAAGGTAACTATTAATCTGACTTTATCACCACGAATAGGTTTTTAGGACATTTATAAATCAGTATTTTCTTCTGTGTCTGGCTTCTTTCTTTTTTTCAAACATTTTTATTGATTTTTATTTTTTTATTTTTTTGAGAGAGAGAAGAAGGGAAAGGAGGAGAAACATTGATGAGAAAGAACATTGATTGACTGTCTCCTATAGGTTTCTTCAATACATAATGATGTTGAGTATTTTTTTCAGATATAATTAGCCATTTGAATATCCTTGTTTGAAGTCCCTTTTCAGTTCTTTGGCCCAATTTCTAAACTGGACTATTTTTCATGTTGATCTGTAAGAGTTCTTTATATAATCTGATGATTTTTTTTTTATATTACAAAGGTATTCTCTCACTCTGTAGTTTGCATGTTTATTCTGTTAATAATATCTTTTGATGAACACATGTTAATTTTAATAAAGTCCGGTTTATTAGTTTTGTTATTAGAAATTTTTATGTCCCACTAAAGAAATCCTCTGTTACCTTCTTGAAGCTTTATTGTTTTACTATTTATATATAGGTTTATATTAGGTCTATGACTGGCTTAAAATTTATTTTTATATATGGTCTCAGGTAGGGGTCAAGATTCATTGTTTTTTACCCTCCGATGGCTGAGCACAACTTATTGAAAAGAGTAACCTTTCACCCACTGCACGGTAGGGACATCTTTGTCGCAAATTGAGTGACCATGTATGTGTGGAGAGGTCTTTTTCTAGATTACCTTTTGTCTTACTTATAATTGGTTCTTTACATTTCATTTTACATCTTCGAATCTGTTTGTAAATTTCCACAAATATTTGTTGGAATTTTGATTGGAATTGCATTGAATCTATATATCAATTTGGGGAGGATTATATTCTTGACAATATTGAATCTTCTGATCCATTAGTGTGGTATATTTCTATATTTAATTAGGGTTTTAATTTCTCTAAATGTTTTGCAGTGTTAAATATAGAGGTCTCGTCCATGTTTCCTAGAATTTGGTGTATTAGAAGCATTATTCTTAACTTTGTTGCTTTCTCAAGTGACTGCTTGACTGACACATCAATTCTGGTATATTTAAAAATGAGTCATCTTTACTTTAGTTTCATTTTGTGGAAACATCATCGGAAATTAAAACATTATTTTCTTTTAAGGTAGCTATTGATTTTTTTTTTTTCTAGTATTAGCAAGTAGCAAAAAAGAATTATCCTTGGAGCTTTGGGATTTCAATAATTTTACCCTAGACTAGAAACCTTTTGTCCCCATGATTGATCATTTGTCCATTCATGATAATCATTACTTGGTGATATATCCATTTAGATCTGTCTCCTGATATTCTCAGCACATACTATATTTAGTTCCTTCTTTAGAACTTTTCTCATGCAGTTTTTCTGTTTCAGTTTTAAGCCAATCCTGCTGTCATCAAATCCCTCTTCTTAAAGCCTTTTTTATTTTCTGTCTCTTCTTATCTTTCTCTCATAATTACACATAAAGTCTCTGTATCAAGGAGTTCAACATTTAGATGTCTTGATTATTTTTAGTGTGTCAGTTTGGTTCCTTGGTTAAATTATCACCTCTATTAAAGCGAAGACTTTTTTCCTCTTGCTCTACCTTCTCTATTATCACTGCTCTGAGCTGAGTAAATACTGTGTTTCCCCGAAAATAAGACCTACTTATAGGTTTCCTTCTGAGTGAAATATAAGGCATCCCCCGAAAATAAGGCCCCCCTAGGCTAAACATGAGAGATTTGGTCCACTGATTCTGAAAGAAATGGAGTCACAAGAAATTCACCAGAAAATTCAGGAATTGGATTGTTATAATGATGTTCCAGAAGATGATGACATGATTGTCATTGAATAAATGAGTAAATTCTTGATACTGTAGGATTCACAGTTTGTCTGGTTTGTGTTGACAACTACCGTACTACTGTACCGTATACAGGTAATAAATTTCCTTTATTTTCATTTAACAATAAATGTGTACCGTATTCTTCTTCATGGAAAAATAAGACATCCCTTGAAAATAAGACCTAGTGCATCTTTGGGAGCAAAAATTAATATAAGACACTGTCTTACTTTCGGGGAAACAGGGTACTTGTGATTAAGGGCAATCTAAGACAAATTTAGTCTTATCAGAGTTAGGATTGACTCAGCATAATTCTTGATGAGCTCTCTTTTGTCAGAGCATCAAGGTGGGCTGTGTAGGAGAAGAGAAGGAGGATGGAGGGGAAAAGATCTTCAAAATACTCTTGCCTTCCAAGTGATTATGATGTGCCCATTACTTGAGGACAACATGGCCATAGTTACCGTTTGTTGTGCTTCATCTATATGCCAGGCACTACCTAGGCTTGGGGGATACCAAAACACAGACTCTGCTTTCAAAGAACTCAGTAAAAACTGAGTGATACGTTAATAATGGATGTGTATTTAGGGTAGTCCAGTTGGCCCTAAGGGAGGGAGTTCTTTGTTCTCACTTCTCAGTACATATTATTTTTAGTAGTTAATATATGTGTTTTCTCTTTTGCCTGGCACCACTGCCAGCTGGGGTAGACGTGAGAATGGCAGTTTGGGGGGTAGCCCCTTAGGGAGCAGCACTGCCTGCATCTTAAGTCATAGTTTGTGGTTTTAAGTATCTGAAACATCTAATACTGTATAAGAGAGGTGCTTTGATTCTCCCCAACTTACTTAATTCCATGACTGTATTTCTCCTTTGTTCATCATCATAGTCCATTCAGCAGACAACACAAGAATGGAATTAATCATTCCAGGAGAGCAGCATTTCTACATGAAGGCAGTCAATGCAGCTGAAAGACAAAGGTGGCTGGTTGCTCTGGGGAGCTCCAAAGCCTGTTTGACTGACACAAGGACTAAAAAAGAAAAAGGTAACTTTCTTTGTAGTAAGAATATTTTCTTAAACACAAATATAAATTATCATTTCACTCATAGTAATTTATCCCAAAGACATAATCAGAAATGTAGAAGATTTATGTGCATAGATGTTCATCAAAAAAATATTGTAGCCCTAGCTGGTTTGGCTCAGTGGATAGAATGTTAGCTTGCGGACTGAAGGGTTCTGGTTCAATTCTGGTCAAGGGCACATGCCTGGGTTGGAGACTCGCAGTAGGGGGCATGTGGGAAGCAGCAGATCAATGATTCTCTCTCATCATTGATGTTTCTATCTCTTTCTCTCCCTCTCATTTCCTCTGTAAAATAAGAAAACAAAAAATTGTAAACAATGCAAAGGTTTGAATTCAGGGGAATGGTTCAGTAAACTGTATAGTGCTTACATAGGCTGATATATAGGCAGTAAAATGTTTACAAGGAATTTTAATGATGTGAGGCAATTCCTAAGGTTAAATAATAATTGAAAAAAATATTGGACAGGTCAGCAAAGATAGGTAAGAACTGATAAGGTTATTGTGGGAAGAAGATTCACTTTTCACTGTATACCTTTTGACTTCATTATGTACATATATTATCAACTTAAAAGGACTAAATAAAAATCAAAAGCAAGGCAAATAATTTATGGTATTCAATTATATACAGATATAATGTGAAAATAACAATAGTATTTATATCTTGGTAGCGAGATTATAGTTGTTTAATTTTTCTTTTCTATATTTTTGACTTTCCAAAATTCTTCATTGACCTTATATTACTTTTATATAATTAAAAACAATAAAAGTTATCTAAACTAGTGAAAGCATTAAATTATGGATATATGAAAAGAACATCATGGAAAGAGTAGGATAAGAAGGAATGAAAGGCGGGAACAACCCAAACATTCAGATGAGTGATAAATATAGTATGGCATATACACACAATGGAATATTGTTCTGCCTTAAAAAGGAAGGCAATTTTGACATTCACTATGACTGGATGAATCTTTAAAATATTATGCTAAGTAAAATAAACTAGTCACAAAAGGACAGATATTGTATGGCTGTACTTAATATGGAGTATCTAGAGTAGTTAAATTCATAGAAACAAAGTAGAATGGTGTTTTCTAGAGGACAGGGGAGGGGAGAATGGGGAGTTAATGTTTAATGTGTACAGAGTTTTGGCTGGAGAAGATGAAAAAGTTTTGGAGGCGGATGGGAGTAATGGTTATATGGCAGCATGAATGTAATTAATGCCAACACTCTATATTTAAAAATTATTAAAATAGTAACATATTTTTCTACAATTAAAGGAAGCAATGGGCTTAAATTTGAGTAGGAGGTTAGGGTAAGGGGGCAGCTAGAGCTCTTTGGTCCACTCGCTGGAGAGCTCTGTGGCTAGTACCACAAAGCAGTGCTGCAGACTCAGGGAAGCAGAAGCACCAGGATCTGCTAGGTGTATTTTTCTCCTTCCTCTGCTGCTTCTTCCTCTAGTTTAGAAGGTATTGGTAAGCGAGTGGTGGAGATTATGGCTAGAGGTTTAGTCTGTCCAGATATATTAAACAAAAGAAAGTGAGCTGTTAATTTAAAAATTCTGAAAATAAATGTAATATGAAAATAAAGCAATGAAAAGACCAAAAAAGAAAAACAAATGAATGTTTATGTAGAATAGTTTTAACTACATAAAAACTAGAAGTATTTTTATGCCAAAATATACAATAAAACAGAACTGGCAGATCTTGAAATGTATTTTAGAGTAGAAAGGACAGGTGAAAGATGGCTACATTTAGTGTATAAGAAATTTTGCAAATTACCAGTTTACATATTATTAATAGAAAACCCAAATATCAGAACTGGAAAAATGAGTTAAGGATAAGAAAAGCCAATTCGCAAAAAAATAAATAAATAAATAAATAAAATGTAAGCATTTTCAAATGAAAGATGAGTGGTGGAATGGAAATACCTCATATAAGACATTCAGTGGTCATCACCCTGTCTCTGGGAATTAATCTACCCAAACTTCAAGTTAGACATAGACTGGCAATTTTTTCCCATTAATCTGAGGAGAATGTGCTTCTAACAGTATTTGTATCCTATTTCCAAGGTCTCACACTACAGATATTTGTATTTATTGTCTTTTTAAAAAACACTGCTTCGGAGAAAGATAGGTGCCATGAGAGATGAAAAGAGAGATCGGTGCACAGAAAAGAGGGAGCATGAAAGAGAGGGGCATGCTGGGGAAAGGAGGTGGGGAAAGGCTGGAAGGATGCCTGCCTGGAGAAGGAAGGCACAAGCATGTTTTTGAGGGCACCATACCCAGAACGGCAGGAAAGGGCCATCAGACACAGGCTAGTGGCAGAAAAATAGCATTAGGCCTTAGAGATGAGTTGAGCTAACCTTGAGTTCAGCTTGAAAAAATTCAGAGCCAAGGAACTGAAATTATAAGGGAAAGTTTATTTAGAAAGTTACTGAGGTAGCTGATGGGCGTGAGAAAGGGAGTTAGATAAGAGCTTTGAGAGACTAAAGAGCAGGAGGGGAGGCTTGGGTGTGCTCCTGAAGAGAACACGTTGGGGGAAGCAGAGGGAGGGGAAAGGCACAGCACACTTCGCAGAGAGAGCCACTGTCTTGCTTTTTAAATGATTCCATTTTATTGCTTTGCCCCCAAAATATGAAAATGACCTAATTGAATGTTTATATATGTTCCCTTTTAGAAATAAGTGAAACCAGCGAATCTCTGAAAACCAAAATGTCTGAACTTCGCCTCTACTGTGACCTTTTAATGCAGCAAGTTCATACGATTCAAGAATTTGTTCATCATGACGAGAATCATTCATCCCCCAGCATAGAGGTATAACAGGGATGTCCTTTTATATCTGATCATGCTTTGCAGTACTTTGCTGTCTTAAAAAAAAAAAAAAAAAAAAAAAAAAAAGGGGGGGAGTTTTTATTTTACCAAGGAAGAAATGGGAGAATGGTGTCTGCCACTAATTAATTCTCCAGTTTCCACTGCTCTGATCACCTTTGGAATTCAGATAGTTACAAAATTCCATTTAGGTTAGGTTTATCTAAGAAATTCTGTACACGATTTTTCAATATAAAAAACTTATTTTTTCTTAGAATCTAATTTCATACATTATTTGCCTGAGAGACAGGTAATTATTATTCACGTATGGCTTTAATTTTCAAATGTGGTGTATTTTAAATAGATTTGACCATAATCTAGTCAGATGTCCTACTCAGTACTTGATTATAAGGTAATGCAGGATGGTACATAGTCGTGTATGTGAATCTGTTCAACTCTGTGTGTAATTTTTCAGAACATGAATGAAGCCTCTTCCCTACTCAGTGCCACATGTAATACGTTCATCACCACGCTTGAGGAATGTGTGAAGATAGCAAACGCCAAGTTTAAACCTGAGATGTTTCAGCTGTCCCACCCGGATCCCTTAGTTTCTCCTGTGTCACCTTCTCCTGTTCAAATGGTTGGAACTTAACTGTTTTTCTTCTAGCAATATTGCATGTACTTCTGTTTTTGTTTTTATTTCTAAGGGTGGAATCTGACAGTGGGTGGGAGATAGTCAGCAGGTTAATTTTTTTAAAAAATTGTATTCGTATTCTCTATTGGAGCCTTTCATCTGGTGAGCTCAGCATGTGCCAAGGCCATGATTCCCCCCTCCCCTGGAGAGCCTGTACCATTTACCCCATTGTGCCAGGAAAAGACTACACTGTTCTCTGGGTGCTGTGACATGAAAAATGTTGGGGAAAACTGTTCTATTTGGGATGATGTTTACCCACAGTGGGATAAGATAAGCAAATCCTTACAGAAGTTGTAAGGAATTTGAAACAACTTATTGCAGGGGAAACAGTATTTTGTAATCTGCATTTGGATTTGAACCCTCTGAGTAGGCAAGTTTCTTAATCTCTCTGGACCTCAAGCATCTGTAAAATCAAGTGTCTTCTACATCAGAAGCTCTTTGCAAAAGACCTGACCTGTTTATATTAGGGGATGTTGTTGAGTAAGTAATCTTAAAGGAAGGGATTTCTGTTAAAGGAAGTATTAATGTAATGAGTTTTTCTTTTATGACCACTGAGAAGGGGAAGTGGTGTGCAGTGTTTCTGAAATTTGTTTGGCAATTATACCCTTTTTATTTATTTTTGAATAACATCTCAGGACTGTAGCATTCAGTAGAACACAGTTTGACAGTTTTGCTTTTAGAATAATTATAGATATACTGTGAAATGTTAAATAACACATATAGCTGAACAAAACATGATCTTTTGAGATGGATATTTGGTGCTGTGTTCCTGAGTCTGATGGACAAGAGGTCCGCTGTTGTTTGTTTTTTAAAGATGTACTTTACAGAGCCAAATACAGTAAATAAACCTCAAACCTGCCATGTTTGTATTGAACTTCAGAAGACAATGCCTTCTGTTTCAAATGCTCTATAGTCCCGAGAGGTTATATTTGTAATGATGTATAAGAAACTCTAATAAATGTTCCTCCTCTAAACCAAAACCTTTTATCAATAGAAACATTAAACCAAAACTTTTTATCAACAAAACAGAACAGGAAATCCAGTCAGAGGCTGCTTATTTTTCCTTGCCATGCCATTTTTTTGTACACATTTTTTTGTACACAGACTGTAATTAGTAATGGTAATTAGTTCTAGAGATAGGGAAAATAAGGTCAGTCTTCATGAGAAAACCGCCTTTTTAAAAATAACATGAGTAAGTGAAAAAAACAAAACATTTGAGAATTGTAAAATTAACTTGATAGTTATAACCATTTTATGTAGCTACTTTCATTATGTCTCTCTTAAAATTAGCTTGCATTCAATTATATTTCAAATCTTCATGGAAGTTCAAACAGTGGTCTTTTTGATGCACAGATTGATGATAACTGTAGGGGGGATGTTGTTGGGTGAATAATCCTAAAGGAAGTGGTTTCTGTTAAAGGAGGTATTAATAATACAGTTGCATCTTAATGTCAACCAGATATCCCTGGACTCATGGATGAGTCATAACTGTTATTTCAGCTGGGATTTCTCAGAGCAACTGGTGGCTCATGTTACAAATGTAGAAGATGTTTATTTACATAACACAAATGTTAGACATAGATTGGACCTCTAAGACTCTTGAGCCTGTATATAAAATCAACCATTCTTAGCCTTTAATATACATTTCATTATTTTACCTTGTTAAATATTGAAATAATCTGTTTTACTTGATTGCCTCTTTCTATTTTTTTTTCATTAGTTGAATTTAGTATTTGTTATATTTATGAATGTTCTGCTTAATCCAATTTTATTTATATTTTTAATATATGTTTTTAGAAACCTACTTGAGGCTTAGGGTTCCTCTTCTGAGTTCTTTAAAGACATGAATTATTAATGCCATCTTCCATGAAAACCATCCTTTAGAATATCTGTGTGACAGCTACCTGAATAATGAATGATAAAGAGAAGCTTTGCTCCTAGATGCTATTCCTGTCCTTTAAAAAATACATAGAGAGATTAGAATATTTTCTGGCTTATCAAATACACCTTTTTATAAAAAACATTATGATTTTTTATGGGGGGACTAGATAAGTATACTCTTTTTTATATTTGTGTATATACACACAAACACACATATGATACAAAATTTGGTTTTTAGCATTGAGAAAAGAATCCAGCATGTTTTTGGTACATATTGAGAAAGATTCCCATTAATGGTTATTAGGGAGAAAGCTTGAAATTGTGCTAATAATGTTACTTGAGTATGTAAAACATAATTGTTTTGGCCAGCCATTTTTTAAATCTGAATAAGGATAATATATTAGAGCTGCTTTATTTTACTTGACTAATGGATTATGTTTACTTTTTAAAAAAATTTCTAGATGAAGCGTTCTATCAGCCACCCTGGTCCTTGCAGTTCAGAGAGGTAAAGTAACTTTCTTTTGACTAAGTCCTCCCAAATTTATAGCTAATTCGGGAAGTTCTTTGAACCTTTAACATAAAGTGGTATGGAATCTAAATTCTGTATGGACAGAGTCTGGTTCTGACTTGCTCAGCATTTCTATCTCTTAGTGTTTAGTATAGGGCCTGTCACAGTATGTAGTAAAGAAAAAAAATGAGTGAATAAATTAACCAGCAAGGTAAGCACCTTGCCAGTTATTTTATCTCTTAATAAGAGAAGAAGGGAGAGGGATAGAAAGTTAGAAACACCAATGAGAGAGAAACATTGATCAGCTGCCTCTTGCACACCCACTACTGGGGATGTGCCCATAACCAAGGTACATGCCCTTGACCAGAATTGAACCTGGGACCCTTTAATCCACAGGCCAAGGCTCAATCCACTGAGCAAAACCAGTTAGGGCTTTAATACCTCTTTTAGATGTTTAAAATTATATTAAATGAACAATTTGATGGTTTATAAATCAATATTTGATATAACAAAGCTCCAAAGATTAGGCTCATTTTACTTCTTTTAGTGCATCATATATTCATACTGAGCAGTTTTTCTTTCTTTAAAAATATTTTTTTATTTATTAAAAAAATACTTTTATTGATTTCAGAGAGGAAGGGAGAGAGAAAGATAGAAACATCAATGATGAGAGAGAGTCATTGATCGGCTGCCTCCTGTATGCTTCCCACTGGGGATTGAGCCTACAACCCTAAGCATGTACCTTGATGGGGAATTGAACCGTGTTCTCCTGATTCATAGGTCAGTGCTCAACCACTGAGCCACACTGGCTGGGCTGAGCTATTGTTTTATTAGATTCTAAAGATCTTACTGAAAAAGAAAAAGCAATTGATATTTTAAAGTATACACACAAATACATACACACACTTGAATAATTATGAGGGCAGTGTTTATTAAAATACATTTCATTTTCAAAATGGGGCTATCATATATTAAAATGTGTGTACATTTTTGGGGGACATCCTGTATATTCATTCAACTCACTTAAAAATTTTATGTTCTAGATAGATCTTGCCAATATCCCAGGCTACTAGAGTATTCTTTATCTTGTTAGGTGACATTGCTATGGTTGTCTTACTTGGTTCATTGGAAAGTGATGAAATTATAATGACATTAGCCTTTATTTATCTACATTAAGGATAAGTGCTGAGCCCCTATTATTGCTTTGTCACATTTTCCCCCTCTCTCTGATGATTAAATAATCTTTGATTAAACTATCATGTGCTCAGAGGTATTCAGTGATGTGCCCCATGTATCCAGTCCTATCGGAATGAAGAGTTTCACCAACAGAATTTTCCAGAAAAATAGCCACTTGATCCCTTTGACAAAATTTTACATTTATGAGAGAAAGTTTTCTGAACTGTATTTTATCCTTTTTATCTTGGTAAATAAGATTTAAACTTTTTTTTTCTTTTTGATGATTCAAGGTTATCATTAAGAATAATAATGTTGGGCTTTAATACATTGATAGCCAAGATGCTATTGAATTGCAGTAATTTGTTTCTATGTTAGATTTTTTATTGATTTTTCTAATTTTTTTGACTGTTTTTTAAGTATTTTTTTAGCCTTCATTTGCCACCTTTGTCTTGCTGCCAACAGTTGACCTTTAATATGCTCCCACACTACCTGCCTATTCCTCTTCACCCTGCTGTTTTTAATCAGATATGGATTGACACTAGATCTGTGCATTTGTGAAATCCATAATTTTTAGTTTTTAAACCTTTGTTAACCATCTGATATATTTCTGTCTAGCTGGATTTTCCTCTATTAAAAAAAAGTGATTTTCATTTTATCCCTTTTGCATTTAGTTTGGCTCAAAGGTCATATTCTCTGAGTTATCAGCCGGATTCTAAATGATTTGACTTATGGCCTGACCTCTGAACAAGTAGAACTTACTAAAATAGAACTTTGGCATAAAGGTAGTTCCTCTTTCATTTAAAGAAACGTCATTTAAAACTCCAGATAAGTTGAGGGTGTTTGCATTTCTTTCAAACTTTACAGTTTAATGCTTTCTTTTAAATTTGCAGGAGTAGCCACTCTATAAAAGAACCAGCGTCTACACTTAACCGGCTCTCTCAGCGACGGCGAAGAACCTACTCAGATACAGACTCTTGCAATGATCTCCCTCTTGAAGACCCAGATAGTAAGTTAGATGGGGTCTGTCTCTCCTTTGGTGTATTCAGCAAAATTATTGTGGGGCTTTGTAATTGCTGAAATGAAGAATACTGACAAGTGAACACCATACTTGGGCCCTTGGATTAACTCCTTAATTCAGAGCTAAGCAGACAATACATAATCAACAGAAGCTCATATATCCTCTTATAAACACCCCTGTTATTAACTGAGAAGTTTTGAGTATCTCTTTGTAAATATATCTTAGACTTATATAGAATACTGAAATCTTTTACTCCCACTACATGTTAGTAATTACTTAACAATTTTCTACTCCCACTACATTTCCATTTAAAGAGCATTTTAGAAGAAAAAGAAAAAATTGTGGGTAGGATTTAGAGCAAGTTCAAAGTACTAAGAAAATAAGAAAGAAATACAAATAAGTTCTAAGTTCAAAGAAAAAGTCAGCATTGTTGTTTAAATAATTTGAAATGTCCAAGGAAAATAAATTTTTTTTCTGGTGTTGGCGGTGGATTATAGTAGCATTTATTTCTATACCATTTTTAAAAAATATATTTTATTGATTTTTTACAGAGAGGAAGAGAGAGTGATAATCAGAAACATCGATGAGAGAGAATCATCCATCGCTGCCTCCTGCACACCCCCTACTGGGGATGTGCCTGCAACCAAGACACATGCCCTTGACTGGAATCGAACCTGGGACCTTTCAGTCCGCAGGCCGACACTCTATCCACTGAGCCAAACTGGTTTTGGCTATTCCTATACCTTTTTATCCCTTACTATTTAAAGAGGAAGCATATTGTGATTGAATACTTTAGGAAAGGTTTTTGATTTATCTTAAATTTAAGAATTTTTCTTTGCAAAGGAAAAACTTTAAAAGTGTGTCAGACGATCTATTTTGAATGATTTCTACTGAACATAAATATGGTCTTATTACCATTAATAGGCTTTTGCTTTACAAAGTCTTTACTACTGCCTGTGAAGCCTGTGGGCCAAAAACTACACACAGTTCCCAGTTCCGTAACAGGATGTGCTCCAAGAATTCATGTGTAAATCAGTTGTGTGGAACACAGGTCTTACTTCTCTTATGGAAATGACGGCAGTTTGATTCTTTTCTTTAAAAAAATAAATAAATAAATACACACACACACACACACACGCGCACACACACACGCACACACACACACACACACCCAGATTTCAGAGAGGAAGGGAGAGGGAGAGAGAGAAAAAAACATCAATGATGAAAGAGAATCATTGATCAGCTGCCTCCTGCATATCCCTTACTGGTGATCGAGCCCACAATCCAAGCATATGCCCTTGACTGGAATTGAACTTAGGACCCTTCAGTCTTCAGGCTGACACTCTAGCCACTGAGTCAAACCAGCTAGAGCAGTTTGATTCTTTGGTTGCCTAGAAGAGCCCAGCTAGTTTACAAATGTCTAAAATGGGACAAAACAAATGGTGTTATATTTACCTATATGTACCTATAAAAGTGCAACTGCCTTGGAACCGGACCATGCCAATGTGTTAAGCTTCATTCACTTGCATCTAGTGATAGTTTTGTGAGTTGCATTCCAAATGGAAATAGGGAAGTTTCAGTGTGCTTTATTCAGAAAGTCTAGTGATGAAAATAGCAAGACCCAAATTAGTCTAGTTCTGTTATCAGTTGTGTCATCTTGCCTTAGCCATGTAACCTTTTTTGGAACTTGGTTTCTTTGCCTAAGAGCAAGGAGGTTACTATCCATATTAAAACCATCAGGCTGAAAAAGCCATAGTTAATTAAGAAAGATTAATTCAATTCAACAAATATTTGTTGAGTGTCCATTATGTGCCAATCATGGTCTTAGCAATGAACGAAATAAATATCTCTATTTCACGTAGTTTCATAATTTATCTCATGAACTCTGAGATTTCTCCAATGACTGCCAATAGTAGAAAAGTTAGATTTTTTTTTTATTAAACAAATAAGCAGAAAAATTAGCAGAAAGCTAAAGGAATTCATGTTTCTGAAAAGAAAACTTAAAATGTTCTTCACAAAGGATATTGGAGTTAATATTGATAGGATGTTTAACCTTTTAATCAATTTGTTAATAGGGCCTGTTCACTGTTCAAGAAATACACTTAATGGAGATTTGTCATCAACAACCATTCCTGAAGAGAGCAGACTTATGGCCAAAAAAAAATCTGAATTGGAAGATCCTCTTTCATCCTTTTCTTCCTGAGGAAACAGAAATGTCCAACTTTCTCTAAGTATTGCTATGCAAAAGCTGCTGTAATTAAACTATGTCATAGGGAGTAGTTTTTCCCTTAGGATTTCTCTGCACTTTATAGAATATTGTAAAACAAACAAAAAAACCCACCTACCTTTGAAGTGTATTTTATCTTTACATAGTTTATTTGCAAGAGTATTTTCCTAATAACTTCACAGTATGAATGTGCATCTTTTTTTCTTTTTAAACAAATGATGGTGTAACATTTTGACATCCATAAGGACAAATGTAGATATTTTTCTAAAAAACTGTGAGTGACTGGCAGCTTAGTCAGTGTATTGTAGCTTATAAATATGAAATCTTATAAACATAAGGTTTCAGTTGGACAGAAGTGTGACATATGTAACTTGTGCCATGGACCAAATGGTCATTTTACCCCCGCTGAAAACGAGTTACCATAGCAGCTTGATGGTGATTGTACTGTATTCCTTTAAGCAAAAGGAAACATTTAATATTCTTAAATATTTTTAGCCCAGATACCATGACATTGAGGATTTTTTTTACAAACCAGACTGTGCTGTCCTTCATATGTGAAGTTGACACTACTGATTTGTCAATACCAAATGTTGGGTTAAAGTATTTAATTTTTATTTATTTATTTTTCTGTTGCATCAAAAATGACCTACCAAATTTAAGATGTGTATACATTGTTATTTACACTGTTCTGGGAAAGAGGCTAATGTTGTAGTGACCTTGCTCACTTCCACCAGAGAAATAAATGGCTTTCAATGGAAGAGATTTTAGTGCTTTTTTTCCTAAAATAGATGATAAGCTGCTGTTTTACGGTATTAATGTTTGCAGCACTTTAGAATATCTAGAGACATTTTTTAATTTATGAATATTTATACAAAAAAGGAATTTTGTTAAGGCAACTACTCTACATCACTTGAGAATGGCATTATTTAATTAAAGTCAAATAGCATTTTTTGGTAGTTCCTGTTCATATCTATTGTCAGTGTTTGCCTTGTAAATTGTTTTTCTAAATTCACTTTGGAGTGATGGTTTTGTCCAAGGTCTTGGCTGAGGAGCACTTTAAAACAAACTGGTTTGGTGTTTTTAAGTTAATCATGTGTTTAATAAATATGTGGTTTTTGCATTCAAACTCATCACACAATACATTGTATTTTTTTTACATTTGTTGATATTCTGCCTAATTTTTATCAAGTTTTAATAGTATTTGTTATTTCTTTGATTTTGTTTGTGTATTCAGACCTCATAATGAAAACACAAATGATGCGTAATTTTAATTTTATTGCCTTTGAGCTTAGAATAGTGTGATCTATTTTACTTCAAAATTCTAAGTGTGTGTGAGACTTTTTTTTTTAAGAGTCAGTGTTTGGTATTTACTTTATTAAAATAAATTTGTAATTATAGGCTTTCTCCCTTACATTTAAATGGACATATGCAATCTATAGTCATTAATATACATTTAGATAAACTGTGTACTCTTAAAGTATTTTATTTTAAGTAGCACTCAGATCATTAGACTGAATTAAGTGGAATATTTTTCTGGTCATATGCTATATTTCATATGTCTAATTTGAGAAAAACTTTAATAATGTAAGTTTTCATGTTGATCAGATAATCCCTTTTTTTTTTTTTTTTTAAAGTAAGAACTTGCATAGTGACAAGACTATGAAGTTCAAGGTGCTACTGATAGGGTTTTTGTTTTGGTTTTTTTTTTTGGTAGCTTTATTTTTTATAATGAAAACAATACAACAAGGTTTTGAACTCCTAGAAAATAAATTCACTTTCTATTGTTTTATCCAAAAAGCTAAGTTCCTGAACAGTTTTCTGTAAATAGTTTTTAAATAAAATGCAGTCATTTGTGGAACATATCATATTTTCTTTCTTGAAACAATGCTTTGAACAGGTTTGCTCTATTCCTGAGTATGGCTTTTATTGTGACATGGAGCCACTTTTTTTCTCGTAGGAGCCAATATATTTGTGAAATCACTTTTTGAGGGGTTATTAGTGTATCTTGCATTACATCTAAGTTTTGATTAGTGAATGGGTAGCATGAATCAACCTATAACGCTTCAGGGAACCTGCATTTTGAGCATTCCTGTATATTTTTAAGTGTACTCGGCTTTTCTGAATTTTAAGAGAAAGATGAAGCGGAACAAATAAGAACAATTCTGTAAGGATTTTAGCTTGTCAGTATTAAAAAAAAAAAAGTATAACTATTGGTTGTTCCTATTTTGCTTTGTCTAGGCCATGGGATTATTGAGAAATTCAGATACTGTTATAGGCGATCTAAGCAACACCAGTACTTGCTTTTCTTTTCAGATACCTGGTTTCTGGTGTGTGGGAATCGCAGAACTCTGTGAATAAAGCAACTTTCATGAGAATTACTCTGTAAATGGGCCAAATATAAACTTCGTTCTATTACATTGCACTTTTGTAGTTCATTTCGAGTCCAGAAACGGATGCTATTGCTTAAACTTAAATTCTGAGGCAAGAGGTTATGGAAACTGATCCTGAATTGTAGTTTTTCTTTATGCATTATTACATTTAGTGTTTAGCAGTCATCACAAAATCTCAGGAAGTATATCCTTTTAATATGTTACTATTATTCTACTGTTTATACTAATTCCATATACCTTATAATATTACTTTGGATTCTACCAATTCTTTACTTTTATTAAATGAAATGCCTCTAAGTCTGTCATTATTGCTGTTGTTGTATCAATAGTTAATCCTCACCTGAGGATATTTTTTCATTTGATTTTTTTAGAGAGAGTGGAAGAAAGGCAGAAAGGAGAGAGAGATACATTGATGTGACAGAGACACATCAATTGGTTGCTCCCCACATGTACCCCACCAGGGCTGAGGATCGAATTTGCAACCCAGGAACATGCCCTTGACTGGGAATCGAACCCGTAACCTTTCGATCCGAGGACTGACACTCTAACCACTGAGCCAGATCAGCCAGAACTGGGTTTGTCCTTTGAGCCTTGGTATTGCCACTTGGTGCAGAGGCAGTGTCTTGGCCCAAAGGAAGCCTGTTAAAATTAAAAGTAGCCCTATCTCCCACCTACTTCCCACCAGGGCTATTAAAAGAGACATCCTCAAAGGAACTGTTCCTTTGAGGATGTCTCTTTTAATAGCCCTGGTGGGAAGTAGGTGGGAGATAGGGCTACTTTTCATGTCTTTCCAGTTCCTTTCTTTGAGTTCATACTGAATTTGTAAGTTTAAATTCTTTTCTTTTAAATTTAGCTTTCTTTTTTTCTAAAGTAATTTATTCATATAGTTTAAAAAAATCAAATAGAACTAGGAAATAGTTCTACATGATTATAGTGAAAAGGAGTAGCTTCTTTTCCCCAGCTTAGCACCCCTGAGACAAGCACCTGCCTTCCTATTTGAAAATAGTAATATTACTTTTTCTTGATTTATCAATTTCAGAAATGATTCTTAAATTCCTTTTATGGCAAGCGGGGTTTACTTTTTGCCCCCATGCCTCTCAATATAGATTACTCACAACTTGTTAAATTAATAGGTAATAAATGTTGTTCACTGATGAACCCAATGTGGTTAATGATAGAAAGGAAGTCAACAACTATTCAGGCAAAGTGTATGTAACACACACCATTCACTTACTAGCAGTACCTTGTGAATTTGAAGACTATGCCATGCTGACATGGTACTCAGAACAAAGCCATTGACATACCTTTAAAACACTTTAAAAACGAGTTTAGCAAGTGTAATTCAGAAGCATACCAGTGCTTGACATGCCACCGTTTGTGTGTAGATCACCCTTAGTCATCACTTGAGAGAAGAGTTTTAGTGTATTTCAATTTTGCATAGGTAGCAAACCCCCTCAGAAAGACTAGTTGCTCTTCATTTTCTTTGCTGTGTTTTAAAAATAGCATCCATGATTTTTTGGGGGGAAATTTACATATTGTAACTTTTCTTTATTGATTTTGTGAATTGGGCCACCTCGGCCGCACAATGTGCTATCTTGTTTACATATGTCTCTTTTGGATTTAACTCCTGCAGGTGTTTCTCCCCCCACCCTTGGGGGAGTAACAGAGTGATTATAATTTTAGATTATTATAACAGTTAAGGTTCATTAATGGCTTGATCTAGAGAACATTTAAGACTCACTGTGGTAGGTTTTTCCCCCCCTCTGTTTTTCAAATGCTGTATGTTACTTCAATATTTCCTTTTTTCTAGCCCTGAAGAAGTCATGCTTGTATGTTATACAAATCATGGTTGAATGTTAAAAGTAAATTTCTAAGAGCTTTCCAGTTTATCCATAATTAGCCAAAGAGAAAGTCATATGAATGTTTCCCATTCTTTCTATATTTACTTTTTTCTTATCACTTTGTTATTTTATCTTTTCTCCATTTTTAATTAATTATAGTGTCTCCTCCTCTCCCAAACCACCTCTTCAATTTCTCTATATTTGGTGGACTGTTTGGAAAAGAAAAAGAATCACTTGGGAAGGGTGGTGAGTTCAAGGGGACATTTAATTTAGGGTCGCATGTTATTCACCCTTCTAAAAAGTCTTTGTTCAGTTAATATTCATTGCCTACTTACTAAGTGCTGTGTTGCTAGTATTCACCTTTGCTTTCTAATTCTTGTGTGCACTCAGCACTTACCACTTTATCTTTAATAGTTTAGATAGGTTGAATATCTTAACTATAATTGGCTTCCCTAAATTTTCAATATTTAGTTGAATAGTATTTATGGTATTTATTATTCACATTTGCACACCAACTATTATTTTAACTTAAACATAAAGGAGCAAGCATTAGAAGAGATCATGGCTGTTTTAAAATACACCGAAACCGGTTTGGCTCAGCGGTAGAGCGTCGGTCTGCGGACTGAAAGGTCCCGAGTTCCATTCCGGTCAAGGGCATGTACATTGGTTGCGGGCACATCCCCGGTAGGGGGTGTGCAAGAGGCAGCTGGTCAATGTTTCTCTCTCATCGACGTTTCTAGCTCTC